GTGATATAAATAACGCGCACGTAATAGTATATTAAGAAACAAGTTTCATAAGTGGCGCGTTTAACGCACGAGTTCAAGTTTAGAAAACGAGCCGCTTGCGGCGAGTTTTCTAATGAACGAGTGCGATGGGACGTCTTATGAAACAAGTTTCTTATACTATTTTTTTCTATTGAGAAGATATTTTCCAAAAATTTTTATCAAAATGATGTTATAGTAACTTTTTGTAACTAGGAAATTTTGATATAGAAGTTGTATTAGTGCAGGTTGTATTAAGTTGGCAGTACGACGTCCCAAATATTTCTCTTATTTAAATATGATTTAAATACAGTCTCATCAGTTTTGTTTTAATTAATAAACTTCAGAAATTAGTACATTAACTATGAAACAATTCATAAAGGCACAATACAGCCCTTCGTCCTTTTATATAAGTTATGTGAAATTCAATCGTGTCACTGTCGATTAACGACAAAGCTAACAGATTTCGCCCATATGACACTGCTTCTACTTAAGGTACGTTTAGACCTGATATATATTGCATGATATTTGTGTCTGACAGAAATTGTGACTAATGTAAACGGAAAACAATTTATGTCAGAGATATTTATTTCAACTGTCAGCTATTTGTGTCGACACTTATTATCAGTAGGTGTAAACGCTGTTTAGTTGGAAGGTCAAACCTTAGACCATATAGTACATGGACTGCTAATTGTAACTAAAATATGGTCAAGGACATCGCCTGGGTATGTGAGTTTCAGGGTAAACGAGTCTGTCCGAAGTTGTCCGATGAGACACGATTTCAGACTGTCAACCTATAAATTAACAAACGTCAATTAATTAATCGCCTAGATATCCCAAAAAAAGCAAACTTATTCTTATTTGTGGACGTATAGCAAATAATGAAGAGCATTTAAAGCTTCCCGTACTACGCGGGTACTATAAAGCTGCTCTTTAAGCGATCCTAGTGGTGTTTACACGACTTTAGTTTACCCTGAGATTCACATACCCACGACTACAGTGCCCTCTATCCGTGACCATCCATTTTGTATTGAAAGCATAGGGCGAATAGCAGTCCATGTAAGTAAAGGAGCTGCACGGGTTCGAGCCCACTTTTGGTCGAAATTACATGTAATTTCCCATAAGGAATTCTAAGGTTCATTTGGGTGTTTTTGGAGCAGTTTGGATGTGCGCATGCGCGCCCCGCCCCTTTGCGCAGGCGTCTGCGCAGGCGTCATTTGGACGCCATCTTGGAATCCTCAAGTTCTTGGAATCCTCAAGTTCTTGGAATCCTCAAGTTCTTGGAATCCTCAAGTTCTTGGAATCCTCAAGTTCTTGGAATCCTCAAGTTCTTGGACGCCATCTTGGACGCCATCTTGGAATCCTCAAACTTCGACCCCTTCGTACCCTGAAAAATTTGTTAAATGGAACGGATTCGAACCGCCAACCATTGGATTACAAGTCCTATAGCATAACCACTGAGCTAATTAGACTTGTATGATATAATGCTTGGATAGTTGTATTTATATCGAACCTCCTGAAAATTTTTTTAAATGGAACGGATTCGAACCGCCAACCATCGGATTACAAGTCCTATAGCATAACCACTAGGCTAACTAGACTTGTATGATATAATGCTTCGATAGTTGTATTTATAACGAACCTCTAAATATTATTAAATCATAGATATATTAAATGGTACGGAGGTGCCATCTATTGGCGTCGTAATGCATATAGAGGTATATTTTCAACCGACTCCCTCTATTAGATTGATGTGACATATAGGTATAGGGTAGGAAATTGTAATTTCAGGAGACAGGTGCGAGGACCCTCATTCTAACCTATAATTCCATCTCGGAGGTAGGTTCCCTATAACCAGAACAGGAGTGGGCAGGGAAAAAACCCGATAGGGGCTAGGGGCTATTTGGTGGCGTCAAAATGATACGCATCTAACGTATAGGAAACTGCAATTTTGACTTCTTGCGTTAGAAATTTACGAATAAAGTCGGCCGTTTATAATGTACATTTAGATAGCAAACATTTGAACTATCCATCCGTTTGGATAATAGGTATTTATAAATCGAAAGGATGCGAATTATCTGTTTATCGTTAAGGACGCAAAAATGGTTCCACATTATAAATACCACTTTATCGCATCATTTGTTCTCAATGTGTGTACGAGCAGCAAAATGACATCGGCGCCGACGAGGACCAATATTTCAAAGTGTGAGTGGTTGTTAAACGAAATTCGAGAGTATGTGCCAAACGTAAGTGTTTTAATAATTTTTTAAACTGTTTGCAATTATTAGTTTTAGGGGTACACGATCATGTGCCCGTGTGCACATAATCTGGTTTATGATGAGAGGCGCGACATTCTACTATTTATAGACCCCCTTTTTTTGGGGATTACTATATATGGGTTTTTACGAATTCAGAACCCTCAGGAAGGGGAGTAGCATTTGTGCGTGTAGGACCGTAAGTTTAAAAAAAGTTTGCGACCTGTTTGCATTTTTTTTTCGCAGAAGATACCAATCACCTCGTCAAAGGAACTGCTACAATCAAAATCGTTGACATCAGTCGTCCTCCTCGTCCTTCAAAAAACTAATGCAGAAGGTGCGTCTCATAATTAAAATCATTAATGTGCAAAATTTTATGTATTTTAAATATTTATAATAAAGGTCCTCGTCGGCGGCGTATTTTTTTCTTTATTAAGGTTCACATACATCGAAAAAATTAGATTACAAATAAAGCTATAGATATTTCACTCATTCCAATCACAATTTACCTGATAAGTAGTATATTCTGTTAAATCAATTTTTCGAGGATCCACATTTATGTTGCGATAATAGTTATGATATGGTAAGTGTTCTAATTCTAATTCCGGATAAAAATGAAGACTCCACTGGTCCATTTGAATTCTGCTAATCAACCGATCAATCCTAATTTTATAATCCTGTTCATTTTCACGTTTATCCATTTCGATGGATCGAAATTCTACTTCTTGTTCTTCTTTTTCTTCTTCTTCTTCGTCACCATTGAGGGACGAGTATGATGATGATGCCGGTACATAAGGTGTTATCCAAGGATGTGACATTTCAGTAGACTCATCAGGAGCAGCAGAACCCTCGTAATATTGGCGCGTATAAGTGTGACGGACGATGCTAGTATTATTAATTCCTGCAATTAACGTAGTAGGATAGCGGCTTTTTAACGTTCGAATTGAGGTTATGTTACATATTTCCTTGTTGGTTAGTGCTTCATGTATTTCTGTTCTCCATATAATTTTCAGTTGTCTTGCTCGCCATAATTTCTTTAAGAAATACAGGATTCTCTTGGGCATGTAGATGTAACCGTATATATTTTCCGGTACAAACGAACGATATTTAAACTTATTCAATACCGCAGCTCCGCTTAATGTTTGCAGAGATCGAGGCTGATAGCGATATATTAATTTGGAGCTTCCTTCACCGGCAGGGACAAAGTTAAATTCCACCACGGTAGGCGGCAACTGAATTACTTCTTCTTGCACAATGGCGACTCTCTGCCGATGTCCATCAATTACAGGCACACTTTCTAACACAACGTCAACAAAAGCTTCTACATCTTCCATGTCTTGAAACAAGTGCAATTATAAACAAAATCATAATATTACGTAATCGTTAAATAGTAAAATGGACATTTAGCTGCGTATATTCTAGAAGAGGAACAAGTTACCGAATTATCGATCTACCTTGTATAGCTTTAGTTAAATTATTATTGGGTAGATACACCTCTTTCCATGACCACCCAGGAGGCAATAAATTCACACTAGAAATAATGCAATTTATTGGAGATGTTTACGGTCTCGTTATAGGATTCCCCATTAGATATTTCTCTACACAGGGTGTATAAAAAATAACTAATAGGCCTACCTTTTTAATAGTACTGCTTGCGCAACAATGAAATCTTAAATTTATACAAGAATTTACTATTTTTAGCTTTATACAGGGGTAGTTTGCTAATAACCTTTAGTCTAAGAATATTCCTAAAATAATATCCTAATTTGTATACAAATTTCCTAGGATTTTGACAATTTGTAACTAATTCATCAAAAATCACAACCTTAATCAACTTCCATCTGTTCAACATCTTGAGGCTTATTGATAGCATAATGGCCCCACGGTAGAGTGTTAAATGAGTCAGGAATCAGGTATCTCTTATCATCCTCAGGACTTAGAGCAATTTTCGACTGCGTTATGGAATAAACTTGATGTTTATCCGTACGAATCAAATTTTGAGATGTAGTTTTGCGCTTATAGGTCTCCAGACACTCCACATAATCATCAAAGGTAATTTTAGTTTCTACTACACTTTTCTTTATCCCCTTTGCCTTCTTAGTCAAACCATAATTTTTAATAATCGTAGCAATTTCATCCTCATCATACTCCTCCGCTTCCAATTTCTGTTGTAGTTTTATTAAATCGTCCTTAGTGGATAATACTTTAGTGGTGTACAGTTTCGATCGTAATCCTACATAATCGGTCATTATCTGTCCATTATTTTCATCTTTCATCATGCCCAACACTTTCTTATTTACAAGGGGTATGCCATATGGGTTATTGGGGTCATAATCGCTAGTATCGTAATATTTAAAACAGTCGCTTTTTATAGCCATATAAGGGTCTTGTTCACGAATTTCGTAAATTAAGCTGTCCGTATCTGTGTAAAGAACAGTACAGTTATCTCCAAATCTATCCATCATGTAGTCATAATGGAAGCTGTAGATGGTCGTCTTGGCTAGATCAAGAATGGCTTGGCCAACGTATATAGGCTTATTTAAATAAATTTCAAGCTTATTCAATTCTACAGCTACCAAGTTTTCGTTAAAAATGGCGCAAGATTTAAATTCCGGTTTCGCAATGTATGATTCTGCGCCGTAACGTCCTTTCCATTGGGATAGTAATTTGATATTAACCCGTTTTCTGACATTTTCCATAGTCTTCCCAAAGACTGCGTTATTCATCAACTTAAACAAGTTCTTCTTTTTTGGCTTTTTTTCTTAGTTCTGTATTAAGGTCAATGTAGGACTTTAGCCAAGGGGACTGTTTAAATTTGAGTACCCTATGTACTTTGGAGAGAATTAGACCATGGGCTAATGCTTGCTTCAAGGCTCGATAGTGGATGACGTATTTTTCTTTATTATTTAAGGTCGCCATGAGTTTTGAAATTTCCGCAGCTTCAGTTGGCGGTTTCATAGTCTTCGGGTTGATGTGTAATGCACAGAACGGTAAATCCGTGTGAGCGTCATGCAAATGCTGTGGATACTCCAAATCAACTTCTAGAATGTAGCCTTCATCTGCATCATCCGGAATCGTAGTGATATCGATGTTGGAGTCTACCCATTCAAAGCCTCCATATGGAAGATATTGACTCATACTCCAGCCATACTGGTTATTGATATCGTTGTACATTAGATAGACATCCGGTTTCGTTGAATCATATTTGGACATATATTTGTTGTTTGCATGAGCTCTTCTTTTAGAGCAGACTTGACTTAACCCTCCACGAATACCCCGCTCGACAAAGAGAAACATATCCTGGTCGGTAAGGAGTTCCAGCTCTTGTCGCGTGTATTTCAACATGGCATCCCAAGTAAAGCCTGGTAGTGTAAAATAGTGGGCCGGATCTAAATCATAAGTGCTAATACAGCTTGATCTAAACTGTTCAAAGACATCTGCAAGGAGTAGAATATCAGTCTTCATGTACAAGTCAACATATTGACCCAAGTTGCTGCAGTTAAATCTGCTCCACACCTCCTGAGCTCTACGATACATTCTTCTGGGACAGGGCTTATCTTCCAATTTATTGTAAAACGCATCTTGAGGAGGCAGACACAGCTCATCGAAACGGTCGAACGAGTCGAAGTAATCATACGGCATAATACCCTTTTTAGTTAAAATATTAAATTGATCTTCAGGTAGTGTAGAGAATTGTGACTTTAGATTAGGAAAGTTCGTTAGAGCTGATGATAATTTATCTAACGATGATGCCATAAACCGGAAGCTGTCTATAAATCTAAAGCATATGCGTGACTCGTTGATGTGTTTGGTAAAAGAAATATATTTCTCCTTGGTTATAGGGAGCAAGTCGATCTTGCCGTCCATTCTAGTGGCAATATCTGTTACAACAAAGTGAGCATCATATCCACTCAAGTTGTGGAACACCACCGGAATTGTATGAGTGTCCTGGTAGTTGACGTTGCATCCCTCACATGCCGCTCCGCGGAAGTTGTTCTCCGGGATAAGGTGATTGTGATCTCGAACTTTCTTTTGACCAGATTTAAATGACTGTTCACAAATATGGCAGTGCGTTGCTGCTTGAAATTCAAGTTCCTGCTGTGGTGTCATATGCATCTTGTAGGGGCAAAGAAACACCGTAGACATCTTCCGCAAGCTTATTCATCTCGTCAGCAAACCATCGCATACAGTCTTCACCGCGGTAGCTGTTGTAGAACGAAAGAGATTAATCGTATGAGCACTTGAAGTAGTATCCCACAGCTGCTGGAATATGTTGTTGGTATGCAGTCTTTTTTGTGCTAGGTTTCAGAACGCTCTCGAGATCTGCATATACGACAAAGGGGGCTTTTATTTTATTTTTAAAATTTTTAAACTTCAACATCTTTTTTTCCTCTGTAGGCATCTTGATGGCTGTATCATTCTTTTGTATGCAATCCTTAATATGCTTATGTAATTTATCTTCAGAACGGTAAAAATGTAGACATCTATCGCAAATATACTTTTGCCTTTTTTCTTTGCTTAACTGCTTCGATACTAGCCGTGAAAGATTTTTTATCCAAACATAATGGAACTTGGTCGATTGTTCGTAGCAGTCTTGCACTAAAAGCAGGTTCACATGTTTATCCCTCTTTTCCTTCGTTAGGTAGGTAGGCAACGTATTAAACTGGTCTTTTTTCTCCTGCTTCAGAATATACACGTTAATGGAGATGTTGTTTTGTTTTTCAAAGTTCGGAATTTGTCGCATAGTCATCGGAAACTGGATCCCTTTAAGCTTGAGCACGGAAGAGTAGTGAGGGTATTTAGACATTCTGTGGGGATTTTTATCAACAGGATACAACGCCGGAACCACCGCCCACGCAAAACAGGCATCATCATCATTCTTAACGTTAACGCATGACTTTTTTGATTGAATTTGTGAAGGTAGCTGAATATATGAAGAGCCAAGTTGAGGTGTGAATTTGTTAATATTAACCCCTAAATTGATAACAGCCTTAAGGGCCCAACCACTATCACGTTCTTGAAATTCCGATAATTTCTTCATTATTGGTTTCTCAACCTTCTCCTTAAACCACTCATCTATGTTAGTATCCCTATATATTGCCGCATTTGATGTTGTAAAGTACTTATACTCATTAAGCATCTTTTCACCTTGAGTAATCACAAATTCCCCGCAAAAAATCGCATTTATTTTCACAGCCTCATCTTGCTTCAACGCGTTATGAATTCGGCTTTTGAAGATGGTCTTACAATCCATTAAGAAGTTGCCGGGGTCTTTATGTTTAAGATTAGTGATAACTCCAGTTCGTATTCTATTGCTAAAAGCCGAAATGGAGTCATCCCAATGCACGCGATCTTTTGCGGTTTCTTTTCTATTACTAAAAGCCGAAGTGGAGGTTCCTTTATTCAAAGATATACTGTGGTGGTTCCTTCGGTTTAAATTTGAATTCCCGCCACACTTCTCCTCAATCGCTATACTCTTTGGTTTTGTCGGAGACTTACCTTGTATATTCTTGACTCTGTGGGTATAATTGTATGCCTTTGTGAACATGCACTGTATATGTGTAATGGGTTCTATGGTTATGCGCCGGCTAGCATTACTAAATGACAAGAATTGACTTATGATCGGGATGTCTTTACCTACATAAAGCGGTAGTGACTTTCCCTGCTTCAAAATTGAGCGTACGGAATCTACGTTTCTCATTAACACAACATCGGACAAAATACAAAATTTATTAATGCTTCAATGGAAACGAATGGTCTACATATAATAATGCAATAATGCAACACCCTATACAACATGAAAACTCATAAATTATTAGTACACAAATGGAAATCAAACAGTAAATTCTCAATCGTTACGAGCAAGTAACTCGTATGAAAATATTTCAAGATGTAATACTGTCCTATAAATAAAACGACAAAAGCTCCTAATAATAACAATAATCTAAAATACGAATGCAAATATTTAAATGTGCGTTACCACTAACGGGTAAAACTGAATAATACGGTCCTTATCAACTATTACAACGAAGGCGGGATATCTCACGCAGCAATAATTTCATGCTACGAATGCAAACGCAAGTAAATAATCTGGTCCGATAATAAACACAACGAACACGATTAAGGTCCGATAATATGAACGCGGCAAAACGTTTCCGATTCCACTTAATTGTGGTGGATGTTTAAATAACGTTTGTATTTTAATTGGCCATTAAATTCTGTACAGAATTAATTATGTAAACCTTCATACCTGAATAAATCAGTTGTTCTTCTCCGGCGAAGCCGCTATCGATAATTATTTGTTCGATCTTCGGCTGGCAGATAGGCAACTCATCATACTCCAAAACAAATGGGTAGCTCGAACTCGGAATAATGCAGGTTCAATTGCGAAGGTAATAAAATTTGCCAAAACAGGAAAATACCTTGCTCACGTATTGATCGACGATCTCGGCTTTCAGAGTGGTATTTTAAGTAGCTTCCTCGCTGCAGGTTACATCCACGTGCTTTAGCCTTGGAATTTACGTTATCGAACGCCCACAATACAACACCACACTTTTTTTTATCTACGCGATGTTGTTGTACGTAATTGATTTAAACTGATTCACTGTTTAAACTGGTAATTTAAATGAATTACCGGCACAATTTCTAGCGTGCTACCCAAAATCGGGACGCCAATAATCTACCTTCTTTTCGCAATCTACTTTACCAACATCTTTCAACCATTTTCTTTTTACAATGGCGCGCTATTTAAATAATTAGGTATACACATGGTGATTCGAAATAATTGACCAGTCGTTTCAACTTTTACTAATGTTTACTTTAAAACGAAAAATTTAAATTCTGTACTGCTACAATACCCAAGCCTCTCCTTTGTTCTAATTTAAAGTGTTTACGCATCGATTTAATATTACGTAAACAAGCCTCAAGATGTTGCCTTTCACCTATGGATAATGACCTACGCATCGAATCTTGAATTCTACGTCTAGCCTTATCACACTTAATTATCCCTTGCCTCACGGTTTTGCCACTATACTTAGTTCTAAGCACACTTAAAATACTTGCAATCTGTTTTACTAAATCGGTAAACATCTTGCACGTCTAAAAGCCCAAAATACTAAATAATAAAAGCAATATTAATAACAAAACTCACCTATAGATATAATACGTTTAAGAAAATACACACTAACAGATAAAATACGACTAATAAATTCGCACCAACAGATACAATACGACTGATCTCAACGAATGATCGAATTGGAATGGGAAAAATCTGAATAATGTATCGCATATATAGCGAACTCCTCCTAGATACCACCATTGAATAAAAATAGTGTTTTTATTCAATGATACCACTCAACGTTACGATAAATTCGATAATAAATGTATAGGGAGTTGCGAAAGTTATATAGGTTGGTATAAGCAAATTCTATTTATAGGTCATTAATCTATTTATAGGTATATTAGGAATAAAAACAATTTATGCAAAACGTGTTTTATTAAGGGTATCTAAACATTACGGCGTTATTTACTATACCGTGATTTGTGCAATTGCATTTTTCAAACAATTTTTCGGACTCCTCGTTGGAACAAAATGCTGAAAATTCAGTAACGCCAATGATGTGAGTCACAAGTTCGGCGGCATATCCTCTTCTTCGATACTCCGGTAAAGTATAGACGTAATTCAGCATCTTAAGATTTTTATGAATATCTAGAGGATCGAAGTTCATTCTTGATATTAGCGCAAATGCTGCAGGTTTCGAATTCAGGTACCTAATGTAGCAGTAGACGCCCTGATCGATGTACCACTGATAGAGAAAAACATCATCTATCTTTAAACGCTTTATCTCCTTAACTGCTTCTTTACCTCGAAATAATCGTATATTCGTCATCTTCTGAACTGAAGACGTATATCACTCCACATCTATATTTATATGGGTAGGTATGTAATAACGGAAGCAGCATTCGGACTGTTTCTTATCAAAAAGCAACTCATTCACTTTTATTTTAAGAACCTTGCATTTATGCTTCCGCGCAGAAGATTCTAGAACAAACAATTCTATAATTATCATCATTTTTCTAGAACCATAACGGAAGCAGCATCCCGCTCCCAATCACATTTTTTTCTAGAAGAATGAATAATAGTTATTTATTTAATCAGTGGGATAACGGCCTCATTAACTTACGAATGCGACAATTGCGCATACGAGGGCGTTAGCCCGAGCTATTGTGAGAGCATGAGTATGTTAATGGCCGTTAGCCCAAGTATTAAATACAACTTTTTATCTGCGACTGTTCTTCTACTGCTAAAAACGAAAAATAAATTTGATGCATTTTTTAAATTTCAATCGAAGTAGCATAGTTAGCAGTTTTCGGCGCCATAAATCCTAACGTCAAGAAAATTTGTACGTCAAAAATTTTGCTTCTGATTTCTTTGCTTATGTCATGAGTGAGTCTGGAACTCTTCCATCAGACGTTAATGTTTACAATATATAATCTTGATAGTTGATTTTTGACCATACATTGTTTTGACAAGGGCTTATCCCACTGAGTGTGGTAATGAAGTTCCTATCCCACTGAGTGTGGTAATTAAGTTCTTATCCCACTTAAAATGACCGGGATAAGTGAGAGTTATCCTACAGGCGCAGATAAATAGAATTACAGCATCCGCTCTCCCAATCATCAAACCTTGTGTAGCTATTTTTAATGAGGTTTTCCTGTTTTTATCGCACTTGACGACTGAAACCCGTTAGAGTAGGAAATTTGATAATAAAATGGCATCGAAGTATAATTTTAAACTTTCGGCAGGTTTTTCCTGTTTTATCACACTTGACGACTGGAACCCCGTTAGAGTAGGAAATTTGATAATAAAATGACATCGATCTATAACTTATAATTTTATTATACATACTGAAGCTTTGCCATTACATCATTAACAATAATTGAGGGATTGTAATGTAATATTTCTTCTAAACACATTTTTCTGTAATATACTTCTATGCACAGCTGATTAATTAAGTATCTAGCATCTTCGTATACATCAGCGATAGGCGCGGTCTCCTTATTACTTCTTTTCAAGTCAACCATTTTATTGATAAATATCTGGTAAAAGGTAGCGAAGTTATAGGACCCTAGCTGTTGTAGTCTTGAGTTTATTGCATATTTCATGTTGAACAACTCCTCAATCTCGGTTCTATGCATGCAGCACGATTGATTAAATTGTCGAATATCGATGGTGGTTATAATTTTATCTGAATCATCGGTAAATTTCCAGTTATAAAGTAAGCCTAAAGTGTCACTTAATGGTTCATAGTAATCTTCATAGTTGACGTCTTCATAGATGAGGTCTTCAGCAGACCAACATTTTTCTGTTTTCTTTGATAGATATAGCTGTATTTCGGTATAGGGCTGCCATTTCAAAAGATTGTTCCAATCTTCAACAGTCAATATGACGCCGCAACCCTCGCTCTTGCAAGAGAGGCGTAAAACAGGTTCCTGATGAAAACAAGTGCTATAACCTATTTCAATATCCTTACTATCACTGAGAACGTATCGTACAGCACCAATTAACGTTTCCTTTGCCGCTTGACGATAAATTTCAGCTAATTCCTCTTCTAAATAACTATATGATGGTAATGATGATGATGCAGTAGCATCCAATGACGAACAGAACCAACAATTACACATGTTATCGCCTTCACTCTTGTAGTTAAACTAAATTATGGGAAAAAACTTATAGATCGGTATGAATCAATAGCGTAGTGGAGAGGGAAACAGCATGATGTGATTTAAGAACCTTAGCCTCCTTACCGGCAGGTTTGTCCTCTAGGAATCAGCCATCTTGCTAACTAATACAATGACCTTGCCTACCAGGTCCAACGGGTATGTCAACTAGTCCAGGTGGTTTGTCATCAGCTTGTCAACGGGTTGTCTGTTCATATCGGTACCAAACCGGTTCAAAGCTGTTCAATAGCGGATCAACATCGGTTCAGAGGCGGTTCAAAGCAGTTCGAAAGCGGTTCAGAAGCGGTTCAAAGCAGTTCGAAAGCGGTTCAGAGGCGGTTCGAAACCGGTTCAAAGCAGTTCGAAAGCGGTTCAGAAGCGGTTCAAAGCAGTTCAGAGGCGGTTCAAAGCAGTTCAGAGGCGGTTCAAAGCAGTTCGAAAGCGGTTCAAAGCAGTTCGAAAGCGGTTCAAAGCAGTTCGAAAGCGGTTCAGAAGCGGTTCAAAGCAGTTCGAAAGCTGTTCAATAGCGGGTCAACATCGGTTCAGAGGCGGTTCAAAGCGGTCCAATATCGGTTCAAAGCAGTTCTAAAGCAGTTCGAAAGCGGTTCATATCGGTACAAAAAACGGTTCAAAGCAGTTCAAAAGCGGTCCAACGGCTTTTTCATCTGATCCAAGGGCTCTACCTATCTGATCTAACGGCTTTGCCAACTGTTCCAGCGGGGTTTGCTAACTGACCTAAAGGAGGTGTGATCCTTTTAATTCCCATAGCTCGCTTTTCCGTAAAGACATAAAGGGGTTCAGAACAGAGGACAGAAGCCATTTGGTGTTGTGTTGTCGAGAAGAGCAGCCCTTCAACGATGTCTAAAGCGTGTAATTGGGGAAGACCTTGTAACTGTAGCGACTGTCGACCTGAGCTAAAGGAAAAATGTGAAATTTGCTGCGAAAAAGAAGGATACCGCGTTGGAAGTACTTTAAGAAAAGACAGAAAGGGGATAAAGTGCTATGACTTTGAAACTTGTTGTCAACAATGCTATCAGGAAAATTATGGGGAGAGAGAAGAACGAATCTTTAACATGATGCTGCAAATTCTCGAGGATTCGATTAAAAATCCTCCCAAAAAGCCTCAACCTGACCCTGTCTACGTTACCGAGCGAAAAGAAATTAAAGAGGTGTTGTGCAGATTATTCGGAAAAGAACTGTATATGTGTGAAGATGATAGATGTCGACGCAGAATACTGCAAATTCTTGATAAACTTAAAGCGTTGAGTGAAGGATCTAGGTAGAGAGGCAATGCTTATGTTAAAAGTATAGTGAACGTGGGGTTTGAGATATAGGCGGCCAAGAGTGATCTCAGATCCCGACGGCAACAACCAAGTCGGCGATCCAGATCCGGATTGCATTATTTTATTTTCATATTTTCGCTACCACAATATTAACCTTACAATTACATTATCGCTTTATTAAATTTGCGCACAGCAGCGTTGAGCAAAGCGAGGGCAACAGGCGAAATATACGGTTACGGTAGGTCCGTATCAGAGGCTGCATGTGGCCCTTGTAAAATTAATTTGTGATCGATGATCGAAACAGTATGTTTACGGTGACCGAAACATATTATTTAAAAGTATTATAATGCACATTTTATATTTAGGTATATTCTATATAAAACAAACGGCCGCATCAAAAGCAAGCCTTTAATCATGATAGCAGAATAGCTAGATAAAGTTACCAGCAGATTCGCCAATTAAACAAGTTGTCTTTGACCTTCCCGGTTATGATAAAGAGAAACACATAAAATAAATGGTACACAGGTACTTATCATTATAAAATTCAGTAGGTACCGTCTTTTTTTCAAATTGTCACGTTAATTGCGAGAGAGTACCTATACCTAGCGTTATCGGAATAAGTCGGTAGTGTGCTAAAATTGTAGGATGAGTGTTGCAAATCATATTTGCGTTTATGCAAATTGCTACATCAGCAATAAACATAGTGATGGGATAAGTTTCTTTAAATTTCTAAATAATACCTACTTTACTCGCACAATCGCAAAATACATAAACATAAATGATATGAGATACTTTTCTTTGTGATTAGGTAGGTATACTTTTTTGAATTTCGTCCGTACGTACCTGCTGCTTTTAGAACTGCTCTTAATTAGGTATCTGATCCAATAATTATGATAAGGGACTGATATTTTGCAGGTATACAATTGCATGAAAATAGAATGACTCATTTTGTTTACGTGTGTTACAACGGTTTTCGATAGTTGCAATTGGAGTTACGCTAAAGAGTAAAGACTGATTTCGTTGGAGAGGGCGGCTGGGCGAAAATACTGAATACTTGTAAATTGTAAAGAAGGAAAGCGCCGTCGAAATTGTCGGTGGCGTTAGCTGTCGGTGTTGCAAAACGTGGACTCGGAGGGGCAGAGACGCGATGTGCAATAGAGAAGGGACTACCTTAGTAAAAGATCGGAAAGGATGACCGCTTTTCATATAGGCATTACCACTCTACCTAGATCCTTCACTCAACGCTTAAAGTGAAGATTGTTTGGGAAAACAAGAACGGCGGGAAATTTGAATATGAAAGTGATGAAATTGGATACGATCATACGACTGGCTGGTTTGAACAGTATATTTTACCTGAGATAATAAAGAAAATAGTGGGACCTATTTGGGTTAAAACATTGCAAATTTCCCCTACATATAGATTACCTAAGGTCGTATATGTAACAAAGGGCTAAGTTCTCCGTAGAGATTTGGTATAGAAAACATTTATAGTGAGGCTGATAATTTGCAAGAGACTACACTTCAAATTATTCTACGAAACTGTTAAAGTCGCTAAAGGTTGGTATTCCTATATACCTTGAGGATCATTAGGAGAACTATAATGCGGGACACTTCGAGCTGAACAAGAGTTAGAAAAGGAACACACCAATCCGAGACAAGTTTTAAAGCGTAACGGAGACAGTACAGTCGGTTTACTGTAGCAATACATGATATCAATTGAACTTTGATAATGCATTTCCTTTCAATTTTCCTTTCATAATAAATATGTTTACGAAAATAATACATTGTAAATGCATAACAATGTGTTTTATTCAATAAGTCAAAGTTTCGACTATTTATATTTATAAATCGAAAAGGATTGCGAATTATCTGTTTATCGTTAAGGACGCAAAAAGGGGCTCCGCATATTAACTGGCGAAGTATAATTGGAAACATGTAGGATGGCGTATGACCATGCTCCCATTTAATTCCGCGATGGTTATGGATTAGCCAGGTAGCTTGACGTTGTAAGCCATCTGCTTTCCATTATAAATATTGCAAGCTCTTTCGGTAAATCCGGAGCGCTTTTACGCAAATACCTACTATTCAAATATTTATTCAGTATAAAGCGGTCACATCATCCAATGCAATTTTATAGATAACGCGCTTCTTCGGTTCTATTGTTATCAATATGACACCTTTGACTTAAACGCCTACAAGTTCTAACGGTTTCCTGTTAGTCTTGCACCTATATCCTCAAGTCTAACTATCATGTCCCGAAAATTTCTAGAAAGAATTTATGCTTTTCCTATTAAAACAATGCAACTATATAGGTGTCCTTGAGTCGTAATCTTAAGCTACGCTTTACGAAATTATCAATGGCGGCAGCTCGTGAGTAAATAGAATATATAGGTATCGTTAAACTTTAGTTATAGCAAATTTTAAAATCTACTCATCTCCAGGGCATAACGATAGTCGATGTAGTGAAACAGCCGGCTTTTGAATAGGTCGAGGTAATACTCAAAAGGTATATGGAATTGGTCAATGAAACGAAAAGTATTCAAGTTTATCGTATCACCTTCAAAGTAGACCTCCTTCTAAAATAATACACTACCTACGAGCATACTAATTTTTGAAGGTCTTCAGACTTCGGGAACCCTCCGCAACGTACGCATTTTCAAAACTAATAGGATGCTTTGATCGATAATAATACAAATCTATCAGCGGCATGTACCAAATGTTTTACCTATATAATATCACGTTCTAAGGTATGGCGATATTGAATATAATGAGTGAAGGATGTAAATTTTTATTGTATGTTTATCTGCATACCCCTTTGTATCGAACTTCCTATGACATCGTTTGTCATAGCTGTGCAATCTGTACAGGTTTCCTATCTAAATGGATAGCAATAAATAAAACTCCTCCTCGAAACCGTTCGATAGTCAGTTGCGAAGAAAATGGAGGGTAAGAATGACCCCTTTTCTATTTTTCATCAAACTTAATGTATGTAATTTTTCAGCTCAAGGTGCGGCCATCATCTTTGGCCCATTGCAGACGGCCTATGGTAAATACGCCACATATCTATCACACGTTTAACCATATATTTGTAGAACGAGAACTCCGAACATATCTCAAACAAAAATATGGATCTGTAAGTACTTTTCATGCATCATACCGTATTTTAATTAGCTCTTATTTAGGAAAATGTTGCTATTTTACGGGGTCGGGGGGTAATCCCTGACTCCGTAAAGATAGAGGAAGGTAGCTTCCTGGGGCGGAGGTTCCAGGTCTTTAAGGACCTGGAACTACAAAACACGTACTGGGTGTTTTATGTAAGTGTTATCGTTTCAATTATAATGTTTACTTCAATGAATTTTTTTTTCCAGAACTAATAAACCCGCATTAAATTTTGTTTTGTTTTACTTATTCACTCCATTCTGACTAAGCCCTTACCTAAAATAATAAGATGTAGTGATTAGGGTGTTATCATTTCTTCCGTAAAACAAGTGTTATAGATATTAAATTAAGAAGCTCACCTTATAATCAATATTATCGTTATATAAATGTAGATCCGAGAAAAATTGATTTAACTGAATACCAAACAAATTGATGTAATACATAATATTTCACAATGTTATCGCATTTATTTATCACAACTGTATTATTCTCTACTCCTGATCAATAAATGTGAAGTATAGATATTAATAATAATAATAAATCCGCACGCCGTTTAACCAATAACCATGATGATGAAGTCAATCCTCCATTGGAGTTTGATATCGTCTAAAAAAGATATCAATGTAGGCTTTTATTACAAAATAATTTTGATACTTACGGTCCAACTCTGATGTAGACTATGTTTTCTGCTGTCAGCTTATTACTTATAAACGCCCATATAAAATAATCGCTGAATAAATACAATAAAATGTCCCGCAAATTATGCGCGCAAGGACACGTATCCCTAAGAAAAGTAAATTATAAGCAACTAAAAATTGAAAAAAGGCTTACCTGAGGTATATAAGAAGGCGCCTGTCTAAGTAGGTGTATACCCACATGCACTTTTTGAAATCGGATTGCGGATGCACGCCGTTTTTATGGGAGATTTTCGAACTTTACGCATTCATACACAATAAAACCCGTATATAGGTGTCGATGTGGAAATGAAATGGGATAAAGTACCATATCAAATTCGCGAGCACGCGCTGCTATAAATAAACACTATCGCAAGATTGAAACTTTCCATACAAATTATTAGAATAATGACATCTGCGAACTCTGTTCTCTTATTGCTTTAATGACATCTGCGAACTCTGTTCTCTTATTGCTTTCGCAACTTAATAGTTATTATTTTAGATCGAGAAATGTGCAATCATTTTTGCGAGGAGTCGAGGTAAACTATACGTTTTAACCGTATATTTGTAGAACAAGAAACTACTATTATTTTCGGCGGGATAAACCCAGCGAGGTATAAAACCACCATGTATTACGTTTTAATTATATATACCTATGTGTAGAACGGAGCGGGGGATTTCCAATTATGAATAACAATGCTGTCATTAAAATGGGCGTTGCTGACGTCGAGGCTCTCTTCGACGCAAATTTTATGTAAGTAGAGTAAGCGCTTTAATTGTAATAATAAACTTCAAATCACTATTTCCGCTGTAAATAAAAACACCCTACATTTTGTTTGTTGTTTTTTCCCTGCCCACTCCTGTTCTGGTTATAGGGAACCTACCTCCGATATGGAATTATAGGTAAGAATGAGGGTCCTCGCACCTGTCTCCTGAAATTACAATTTCCTACCCTAGTCGCATCAATCTAATAGAGGGAGTCGGATGAAAATATACCTCTATATGCATTACGACGCCAATAGATGGCGCCTCCGTATCAAATCGCTATTTCAGCTCTAAATAAAAACGCTCTACATTTTGTTTTTGTTGTTTTATTTCCCTCCCCGCCCCTGTTCTGGTTGTAGGTTAGAATGGGGCCCCCTTGTGTATGTCTCTCAAATGGGGGAGCTACCTCCGAGATGGAATGATAGGTTAGAATTCTCCTCCCTTGCATCTCTCTCCTGAACCACTGGATAGTTCACATGTTTGCTATTGTACAAATGTATACACGGCCGACTTTATTCGTAAATTTCTAACGCAAGAAGTCAAAATTGCAGTTTCCTATACGTTAGATGCGTATCATTTTGACGCCACCAAATAGCCCCTAGCCCCTATCGGGTTTTTTCCCTGCCCACTCCTGTTCTAGTTATAGGGAACCTACCTCCGAGATGGAATTATAGGTTAGAATGAGGGTCCTCGCACCTGTCTCCTGAAATTACAATTTCCTACCCTATACCTATATGTCACATCAATCTAATAGAGGGAGTCGGTTGAAAATATACCTCTATATGCATTACGACGCCAATAGATGGCACCTCCGTACCATTTAATATATCTATGATTTAATAATATTTAGAGGTTCGTTATAAATACAACTATCGAAGCATTATATCATACAAGTCTAGTTAGCCTAGTGGTTATGCTATAGGACTTGTAATCCGATGGTTGGCGGTTCGAATCCGTTCCATTTAAAAAAATTTTCAGGAGGTTCGATATAAATACAACTATCCAAGCATTATATCATACAAGTCTAATTAGCTCAGTGGTTATGCTATAGGACTTGTAATCCAATGGTTGGCGGTTCGAATCCGTTCCATTTAACAAATTTTTCAGGGTACGAAGGGGTCGAAGTTTGAGGATTCCAAGATGGCGTCCAAGATGGCGTCCAAGAACTTGAGGATTCCAAGAACTTGAGGATTCCAAGAACTTGAGGATTCCAAGAACTTGAGGATTCCAAGAACTTGAGGATTCCAAGAACTTGAGGATTCCAAGATGGCGTCCAAATGACGCCTGCGCAGACGCCTGCGCAAAGGGGCGGGGCGCGCATGCGCACATCCAAACTGCTCCAAAAACACCCAAATGAACCTTAGAATTCCTTATGGGAAATTACATGTAATTTCGACCAAAAGTGGGCTCGAACCCGTGCAGCTCCTTTACTCATGTACTATATGGTCTAAGGGTCAAACTCCTTCGACACATATTGCAAAAGTTGGTTGATCGTCTACTTTTCTGGCGATAAAATTTAGTGTCGTGCAAATATGGCTGATGTTAAAAAAGAGTGGTTAAAAGCCGAAATCGAGGAATTAATTATTATGTACCAGGGCAAACCGGTATTGTGGGATGTTACAAGCAACATTTATAAAAACAGGGTGAAGAAACAAGATGCCTACCAGGAAATGGCAGAAGAATTTAATACGACAATAGAAGAGATTCAAAGGAAAATTCACAACTTGCGAAACCAATTTAACAGTGAATTTAAAAAAAGCAAAAAAAAAAACAATCCGGCCAGGGCACTGACGAACTGAATGTGTCTAAATGCCCCTACTATAATTTGTTGTTATTTCTACAAGGAAGCTCGGAGTGCAAAACAGCAACAGGAAATTTTGAAAAAGTAAGTGAAAATGTCTATCGGTTAAATTTATTTATTTTAGTTTAAAATCGTTTTACATTTTACATTAGTCTGTATTGCCAATTAACTTCCCCTTGGCTGCTTACAAAATATTCCCTATACTCTTCCCGTACTTCTTTAGCGTTCCTTGAGTAGTTATTACTGCCTTGCTGCACCAGTGGTTGTAGACTTGCGGCCTCCGAATTTTCATGTCGCCATTTTCCCTGTATCATTTCTCCCGTTTCCAAATTTTCTCTATTAAAGGTACCTTCAGGAGCGTAGGTATTTGCAGAATATTTATCAGACAATAGCTAATTATGTAAACTGCAAGCAGCTAAAACTACAGACTCTACACGTTCTGGGGCAAGAAGAAGCGGTTTCCTTAACACTCTAAATACACTTGACATAATACCAAAGGCGTTTTCTACTATTCTTCTTGCTCGAGACAGTCTGTAGTTAAAAATTCTCATGGAACCTTTACTATTAAATGAATACGGCTTCATAATATGAGGTTGTAATGGGAATGCATCGTCCGCTACAAAAACATGTGGTACACATAATGTTCTTCCTGGTAGAGGGGTCTTTTCTAATCCTGCTGACGCAGTTTCAATGAAATCTGCAACTCCACTGGCTCTAAAAACACCACCATCTGATACTCTCCCATTGGCTCCAACTGAGATGACAAGGAATTTGTACGCGGCATCAACAATTGCCATTAAAACAATACTATGCTGCCCTTTATAAAAATAATAACTTCCGCTATTCTCCGGAGCTTGGATAACAACATGTTTTCCGTCAATAGCCCCCAAACATTTAGGGAAGTGCCATTTCTGTTCAAAGTTGTTGGCAACACTTTGCCAATCATCTGATGTAGTCGGTGCCTGCAACAAAAATTAAAAAAAAGATTTGTTACAAGTTATACCTCACTTAATTAATTACTTTAATTATATTTTAGGACGCAACCGAAAACAACACGCCATCTGACAACCAAGGTATAATAACATTGGAACAGTCTGCCGAAGAAAATCGATCTGACGCCACACCTAAGTCGCAAAATAATGAGCCTAATCCCAGGAAGAAGAGAAAAATTGAAGTTTGTGATAAAAATAAATTAATCATGCAAAAAGCTATACACGCATTGTACGAAGAAGACGATGTCTATGATGTTTTTGGCAAATATGTTGCATCCGAAATGAGAAGTCTCTCTTCTGAATATTTACGTAAAAAAATGAAAAGACAATTTCAGGAAGTTATACTGCGCATAAATGAAGAAGATGAGCTACTATCAAGCCCCACATCTCATCACAGCTATAGCAATCCATATTCAGTTGCTTCGGTTCGTGGATATGTGGGGTCTCCAGAACATTCTGCACACTATACAACTTTATTACAATCATCAGACACCTTAGCACAGGGGTCGGTAACCTTATCCAGCGTAAGGGCTCATTCTAAAATAGTTTACTCATGAAGGGCGCATGAATGGTGAACGCAAATCAAATGTTACATAAGGACAAAACAAGATGTTTATTACAACAGGAATACATACAGTTAATATAAGTCTGTTGTTACAAAGATTAAGTACTACTTGCTAGTTAGTGTGATCCCTGACCTTGCATTTCTTCCGACAACTTGATGAAATTCGGCTCATAATTTGAAGTACCTGTCCTCATACAATGGTCCAAATTTACATTTGTCATTCTGTTTCTATATTTTGATTTCAAGTGCTTCATTGTTGAAAATATAGATTCGCATGTGTAAGTTGATGCACTATAGGCGTGTATTTTAAGAGATAATCCTCTTAAAATAGGATACTTATTTGAATCAACGATATTCCAAAAGTTTTCGTCTCGCATGTATGATTTCAGGTTCAAGTCGTTCTTCATGGTTACTATTTCCAGCTCTAATTCCTCATAATTTTCTATGCCAAAATAGTTTTTGATCTTTTGCGAAATATCACCTTCTGCAAATGGGTTAATTATGAACTCCAAGATTGGCTCAAGATTATGAAATTGTTGAAAACGAGAATTAAATTCGTCCAAAAGTGTATCTAAATGAGGCACAAAGGAAATTGTATTAATATCCTTTTCACATAAATTGAGGTCGTCGAAAACTTTCTTTAAATTTGGAAAGTGTGATGTTGAATTTTTCAATAAATGAGATTTCCATAGAGTCAGTTTGGCTTTGAATGTATTCACTGATCCAACCATCTTCGCAATATGACGATTTTTCCCCTGCATTTCCAGATTTAGTTCATTGAGTTTTATTGTTAAATCAGTGAGAAACCCCAAATCTGCAAGCCATGAGTTATTAGTCAACTGTGGATAATCTTCCCCTCTTGTTGCCAAGAACTGTTTAATTTCGTTTATTAAACTGAGAAAGCGTACAAGCACTTTGCCTCTGCTCAGCCATCGAACTTCTGTATGCAATAACAAGTCCGCATACTCGACATCTTCATCTTGCAAAAGCTGACGAAACAAACGGTGTTGCATTGAAGCAGCCCTAATAGAGTTTATTATCTTTACGACAATTTTCATGACGTGTTCGAAACACAGAGTTGTATATAAGTAAATAGAGAGACAGTCTTGTAGCGAAAAATTGACTCCAATTGAACCTTGCGCAGGCCGTTGGTGAGTGTGCGCAGTAATCGACAACAGAACCGGCTTCAAATTAAATGATCCTTAAAGCAGGTTCGGCTTGAGAATAATATGGTTTCTCATTGCAACAAAAATTGAAAAGAAATTCAGTGTGTGGTGAATGATGTTGTTAACACTGTGTCTTGAATAAATAAGAAACATTACAATCGTTAAGAACTTTTAATACAGTAGACTACACTACAATACAAAGCTGGTAAGGGGCTTACAACATACAACATCAGAATCGAGAAAAGATTTTTTGAGATTCTGGTATAAAGGAAATCGTATATTTGTCGTGCGACCGAGTTTAAAGATCTATTTATGCACTCAGTGAGTATAAAAATAAGCAATGAAAGAATAAAATAAGTTGAAATTTTATTTTGGTGCGGGACAAAATTTCAGGTGTGCAATGCCGAAAACACAGTTTGAATACAGGTAGCCACAAAGTCGACAAACTGCAAATGCCAATAACTCAAATATCTCAAAAATGGAGGATCGGCAGAGGGTATGTACAGTGGCACCACACTCAGAAGGTCCCTGACAGGGCGTGTCCGAGGACGTTGGAAATTTAGACTGTACATTCTCATGCAAAATTTGACTCTACTAAATATAAATAAGTGGGCACGCGATATGAGTTGCATTACTTCAAGGGGAAACAGTAAAATTAATAATTTTATTTCTACAAAACGTAAACACATTTAAGATTGTTAGATGTTCATGTTCAACACAATTTACAATTCTGATGCACTTCTGCTGTGTAAATAAATATGGACAGTTATTGAAACAATCACATTGAAATTAATATTATAATACTCGCGACTAAATTAACACACAACCTTTAACTTTTTTCATTCATTATCGTCACTTGACCACTAATCATCATCGGAACTGCCGGTGTTCACAATAAATTGTAGATTGTCAATAAATTCATTTCTCGTAGGAATGTTATTTGCTTCTAACTAAGAACGTATCACTTCCTGACGAGGTGCGTGAGTTTGCTGGTAAATTTGGTATAAGCTGCTTCTCTAACCACTGCATAAAGTTGATATGATTCATATCATCGTAATAATCCCCCGATTTACTGTGCGACATCCTCTACAAAACCAGAACGACTACAAGCATACTACGATGTCCTCTGACCAGCCCTATTATAAACTTCCGATACTTCATCTGATTGTTAGCATTTACTCACTCCGTACGATGAGTGAATATAGGTTTCGTCCAAGTATATAACGGGTTTCTTGTCACATTCAGGTTGTTCATTTTCTTTTAATCTTCTTAAATAACGAGATGCCATACTACAATGTCACTTCTTTCCATTATCAACCTACGTTTGTCCCGACACTTCTTGTATCGAAAACCAAGTTTCAACAATTGCTTGCGAAGAGTTTTCCTTCCACCCATATATTTGATCTTTTCTTGCACTTTTCTAGGAGCATTTTAAAATATCCTTTATTTATGTACAGATCGTCACCTACTAAACATTGAAATGGCGGTAAAGAGTATAATGTAATGGGCATGCTTAAATTATTGCTCCAAAGCGTTTGTTTATTTACAAATGAATCTGAAGCATCTGAAAAGTTATTGCTGTTTTGTTTTGTGATTATGTAACTGAATGCACCCAAAAATCGTGCTAATTTCCTTTCACGCACTGCGCATGAGTCCCAACGGCTCCGCCATTAAAAGTCGGCCACTGTAGTTGGAGTTATTTTTCCACGCGCAGGTCGTATGTACTGCCTCTCTATTTACTTATATACAACTCTGTGGTTCGAAACGAAGAGTTTTGGCACACAATGCCTCTTGGTGGATGATAGTGATAATGAGCGAATCGAGGAAACATCTCATTTGCCATACACAGTGCAACGAAGCCATTTCTATTGCCTATCATTGCAGGCGCACCATCAGTAGCTATGGCAGCCAACTTTTTTAATGGCAATTGACTTTCTTCTGCAAAGTTTATAAATGCATCGTAAATATCTTTTCCTTGTGTGCGACCCTTCAGCGGCAACAACTTTAAAAATTCTTCTTTTGTGGTAAAATCATTAAATACCATTTTAATAATAACACATAGCTGTGCAATGTCGGTAATGTCGGTGGACTCGTCGAGTTGAAGAGAAAAAAACTCACACTTTTTAATATCACTTTCCAACTCCGATTTCATATCAGTAGCGATAACTTCTATTCTTCTCGCTTCAATAGCTGAAATAATTTCACTTTTGTTTTTAAAATTGTCAAAAACAGAATCAGCAGCCGTTAAAAAGGCTTCCTTTATTATTTCTCCGTCTACAAAAGGTTTTTTCTTTTTAGCCAACAAATGAGAAACCTTTAAAGATGCAATAGTAGCACTTTTCGAAAGTTGAACTGGTCTGGTGAAAACACTTTGTTGTTTTGTCAGATTTGTCTTCAATTCTCCGACACGTTTCTTTCGGATTTCAGTATTTGGGGGAAAACTATTGTTACACGACGAATGCACAGTATTGAAGTGTCTTTCAATGTTACTTTTTTTAGGCACTGCTACACTGGCGTTGCATAATAAACAAATACTTTTTCCGTTAAACTCTATAAAGAAGAACTGTTCTTCCCACTCTTTATTAAAATAGTAAGTCCTTGGTCTTTTACTCATGTTAAAAGCACAAATTAACAAACCAGTACTACAAATAATTATGTAGGTAGGTAGCGCACTGATCACGAAACACGAATGGCAAGTTGTTACTGAATACGAAGATACGAGCGCTCGTGTGTTGTGGGCACATCAAAAAGTTCTCGCGGGCGCACGTGCGCCCGCGGTCACAGCGTTGCCGACCCCTGCCTTAGCATCTTACATACAAACTGAAACTGAAAGTAATAACTCATAATCTACTTAAACAATTACCTTAATGTAATCTTCTTTTAATGCTAACATTATTGCTCTGCACACTTCAGGAACAATGAGGCTTATTGTACATTTTGGTATTCTGAATAGGTATTGTAGGCTGGTGTATGAATAACCTGTAACAAAATATAATAAACAATATACTTATTATTAATAAACTTTCAATAAAAAGAATTACTTTATTTAATAATAATAGTAGGCACCTATACTTACCAGAAGCTAAAAATCGCAAAGTTAAAGCAAGTCTTTCTGTTGTACTAATAGCTTTCCTGAATTTTGTATCCTGTTTTGAAATAAGGGGTCCAATTTTACACACAAGCTTTTCAAAATCAGTAGGTTTCATCCTTAAAAAATTTGAAAACTGTGCTGGATCTTCAATACAGAGTTCAGACATTAATTGAGTGTGGGCACCGAGATTATTACGTCTCCAAATCCACTCTCGAACCCACACAGAACGTTTTTTCTTCTTTTTCATAGAATTTAATAGGCCGCGACTTTTCGTTTAGATGCTTTCATTATTCAAAAATAAACTGTCTGAAATGATGACCCACGACAGAAGTGTTCCCAATAATTTGTATTTAAATGTAGACAGGTCGTACATTTATTTTAAACATTTCTGTATGTATAGCTTTTCGAGGACTGTCGTATACTGATCTATGACATAAATTTCTAGCAATTTGTGTCAGATGTAAACAGTCGAAGGTATTTTCTCTCTGACACTCGACATATATTTCCGGAAAGAACTGTCAGATGTAAACGTACCTTTATATTGGTGACTGACATAAAAAGAAAAACAAAGGTTTCTTTTTGCGATTTGCCATTAACGGTCACTAACGGATCGGTCCTTAGTGGGTTGTTATTACGTGATAGGTGTCACTCATTACGACGGGTTCGGCTTCGGATTGTCACTTCCTCTTAGGAGCATAACGATACTACACAAATCAGGCTCACGATATTAATAACGCAGAACAAGTGCTAAAAGCAATAAGGTGCTTCTTTAAAATATTGTTTAATGTGTTCCGAAGGTATCCTCGTCCTCCTTTCCCCATTCGAAATCTGTAGGTCTTTTTTGGAAGATAGGTACACTATTCGTACTAGTTAGTAATCATTGGTCACAGATTGCACGTAGATGTTGAACGTGCTACAAAAAGAGGCATTAATCATTAATGTAAAAATTTACCTCAAAGCCCCATATTGTTGATATCTCTGTTCTTACGAGCATACCGTAATATTTAATTCCCTTTTGAGTTTTGGGAGAAAGTAAATAAGTGGTTTTTCATATTGTTCTTCTTGTAATTTGATTAACACTTTATCAGCCTTACATGTCTCGCTTTTAATCAAATAGAAAGGGAATCTTGTCTTTCTGTATATCAAAACATAACCCTAATTTGTAAATAAATACAATCGAATGTCAAATAGGGTAGTGAATTTAGGTTTTCCTCTTTAATACCAACTTAAAAACGGTGTGTTAATAGGTCTCACATTTAACGCACTGTTTTGAGCGGAAAACAGTGCGTTAATAAGAACATTTAAAAATCAAAATAGAAAAAAGTACATTTTCAAATTACATCCTTCATCACTTCTCTGTTAAAAAACGCACTTTTTAATGCATTTCGAGTTGCAAATCTCCTGCGTTTTGACTTTCCGTGTGATTCCTTTTAACCCTTCGTAAAACACTCTCCTTTTATAACATTTATTTCATAACATACTAAACTCTACGAACTAAAATACAACGAACAATTTCAACTACGCTATTTTCTTACATCTTCCTACTTCAACGCTTTTTCTTACTGTTACTAACTTAACTTATTTACTTAAATACATGTTGCCACATTTCACATTTAACAATGGATTTTAGTGTACACTTAACACTGCGTAAGGTGGCTAATGGTCGCAGGGCGTTAACTTCATCCACAAGATTCCTCCATTCTCCGGATTGGAGTACGCCATTCCTTTCGTTGCCTATAAGAGATTGAGAACAATAGGTACCTTCGGTTACACCAGGTTTTCTTAGTGTCACTTTTTAAGATAAAATTATGCAGGCAGATTGTGGCTTTCACAATACAGTCAACAGACTCAGCATGGGCGTGGATTGTTCATCGAAATATTCTCCACCTAGCTGCTAGTGTGCCCAAAGTATTTTCGATACATCTTCTAGCCCTGCTTAACCTGTAATTGAAAATCTGTTTGTCCTCGGACAAGAATTTTCCACTATAGGGCCGTAACAGATATTCCTTTAGAGGAAATGCTTCGTCTCCTACAAAGAAACCATGGAATGAAATGTCTGTTCCAGGAAGTCTAACATCGGTAGGTATGGCTTGGGTATTATTTTGTAAACTTGGTCCCAGTGATGATCTTCCAAAAATACCCCCATCGCTTTCTGAGACATAAGCTCCCACATTGACATATATAAATTTGTAATTTGCATCACACACCGTGTGCTCCTCGTCAATGGCACCATAACAATTTGGGAATTGCCACAATGGTGAAAACTCATTCATATTATTGTGCCACGAATCTGCAGTAACTGGAAGTTCACGTCTTCGTTCAATGCGTCCCATATTGCTCTGCAAGTCTCTCGGTAAAAATTATGCATATGATTTCTTTAATATCGTACTTTAAAATATCATCGACGTTTGGTCATTTCCAGTTCCCACCACTCCTTGCCATACCTTTGATAGTATATGATTGTTCATACATGTCTGTAACTAAACCAGGAAAATATTCAGAATCGTATTCGATGATCACGTAGTCACCAATATCGTATTGGCCAGTTTCCGATCGAGGATGATTTTCTTTCTCAATCTTCATTTCTGGTTTTCTGTCTAGATTTTGCTGTTTTTGCCAATTTTCCCTCTTCTTTTTTTCTCTGCTCCGTCTCTTTTTTCTCTAATTTCCTTTTGTGATATTCTTGGCAGTTTGAGGAAGATGCAACAGCAGGTAATTTTTCCCTTTGTTTTCTGTTATTTTTAGTAGGTGGTTGGTTTTCCGAAGAAGGCCAGAACAAAGCTTTCTTGAAAGGAGTTGGGATATTTTCTTCTCCAGATCCGCCTGCTCCACTTGAATAAGCAACATCACTGGTACGTCACCATGTTGCATATCGGATTCTCTACTTGGAATTATACTTGTAACGTAAATGAGAGATGTAGCAACTACGTACTTTGTAAATAGTTTCGTAAAGGCTTCAGAATTATATTTACTTTAGTTACATACCTAATCATTGTTATAAACATGTGTGGGTGTGTAAAGATACGTAACAACCTCATCACTATTGTTTTACCCGTAAGCATACTTCTTACGTAGCTGCATTTCTGCAAGAATAAAGGAAACATTTGTAAAATACATTATATTATAAATAAAAAAAACAATACAATTCAAATATCGGAACAAACATAAATAAGAACAATTCTACTACACTTCAAGAAATAACATTACACAAATAAAAGCAACAAAATACATAAATCAAATGTGAGAAAGCATAAAGAGGAACAATATTTACTGATCTACAATATATACCTTACAAAATATATATAAATTCAAAACTTATACAATGCATATAACATAACACAAATAAGAGGAAAATATACAGGGTTATTACAAAAGAATCATCGAGTTTTAAACATTTATATTGCAGAGAGTATTGCAGATATAATAACAAAACACTGTAACCGGTACATCCTACCTAGATATGTTGCAGTTGTGGTTATTTCCGCAACTAACAGAAGATTCTAAAAACTTCATATTTCAATTCAACAAGATGGAGCTCCGCCTCACTGGCATAATGAGGTGCGTCGGTATTTAAACGAGGAACTGCCTCACCGTTAGATTGGCCGAGGTACTGGACAAGATTTGGTATTGTTCGCGTGGCCTCCCAGGTCTCCCGACCTTACACCATGCGATTTTTACCTGTGGGGTGACATTAAAGATATGGTTTACATACCACCTCTGCCACCAACATTGGGTCAACTCCGGGACCGCATTACTACTGTTATTAACAATATCAATCGATACAAATTGCAGCGTGTATGGGCCGAACTGGACTATCGTTTGGACATATGTCGTGTGACATAACATGCTTAAAATCTTTAATATTGTCACGTAGAGAAATTTCAGTTCATATTTCAGATGAAAATGTAGGTCAGAACTTAGATCAGCATCCTGTGAGTCTTAAGGAAATTATGTAAAGTAGAATCAGTTTAAGATTATCACCAAAGCTTCCCTCCTTTCTTGGATAATTGATGTTGTATAATGTACCACGAACAAGACTTTGTGTTTATACAAGGCCTCGTGAGTAACGGGAACATCAGTCATCTAGGGTGTTAACAGGAAGGAATTGACGTGTGAGATCCGAAGGTATAAATGGGAGATGCACGGATATGCTATAGATAGTTAGTGATATTGGTACACGAGAATCATGTTAGAAATGTAAGTACCTTTCTTTATGTAATTTGGCACTTCTTTTTACATTGCTTGACCAAATGCATGTATAAAACAAATGGTCGTTATGTGTGTTCGTTGAGACCGTGATCCTGGTTGAAAGTCGCAACACCTCTTGTAAATGCGAGCTACAACCCCAGAGTGTGACAATATTTTACCTTTCAATTGACATGCCGTTTACTGTTATATCTGTAATACCTCCAGAAATATATATTTTTAAAACCCGATGATTCTTTTGTAATAACCCTGTACTTCGAACATTAAATATACACATAAAACCATAACTATTTAAACATTTTTTCTTCTAGAAAATCGTTGTTGAGCAGAACGGAACCAATCAATTCCAGTTTGCTCAATTGCTTGGTATTTTACATGAGGGAAATAATCGCGAACTGCTTCTACAGAATAATAACATAAAATATCAATTTGCGTATAATCAGTTTCTCTTACCAGACATGACTTTAATTAACTGTACATTTTCAACACGGTGATTTTGCTTCCGACCCCTCCACGAGCAAATGGTCGCTACCTCAAAGTCAAAAACCTTTGAAAGCATTTTAAAAATTGTAATTCTTTCATTTGACCCGCTTGAACGTTTTAATAGTTGAAGCTACATAAAATGTATGGCTGAAAAGCACATAATATCCCTAACTATGGTAGTTTTTTAAAGACAACGTGCAACAACTTAAACGTTGGGAAAAGTCATATAGAAGTGTGTAGAAGTACTTCACATGAACTTTGATGCAACCGTCGACCCTTCCAGTTTGAAGGGAAAAGTAAAAACCAGCATGAAAGGTATAATTTATTCTGTGGAGGTGTGTATTGTTTATCTGTTGTAAGGTGATTTTACTTTTTTCATTGCTTGCTAACTGATATCTCATTGGGATTTTTTTGTGCAATGACTTTCACCTCTAGGCTGTTGGGTCGAGTGAATAAAACAGATTTTTTATTTCATTTGTAAATTGTGAGTGTACCTACAAGGGTTCAAAGGAAAATGTTAGCAGTAGTTAAGTACTATAGAAATACAAAAATTGTAAATGTAGGATAGCTTCAAATACAAGTACAAATATTGATTTATCACCTATATAAGTAACTTATTTTAATAAAATGTCATAATTTTGTAATATACAATACATATTATAATAGTACCATCATTCTATTGAATGGTTTGGTGATTTTGATCAAAGATCAATTTCATGAAAATAACAAAAATTGAAAACGTAGGATAGCTTCAAATACTTAATTCAAGTACAAATATTGACAATAAGAAACTAAAAATTTCCACAGTTTACAGCTATGATTTACCTCTTGCTGAATTTGTGTCAAATCTAAATGTTTGACAGAGGAACCACTTTCTTCAACAAATACAGTCTAGTAGTAGTAGTCTCTCGGTAATCCGGCAGATATCGGGCCAGAGTACTGCCGGATTACAGGAATTTGTTCTAAAAAATGCATTTCAATGACAGAACTAGTTATTTATTGTAAAGGATGTAAATATAAGCGCTTTATTATTGCACACTATTATAGCCCACACACACACATATTTGGTTAAAATAATTAGACTAAAAATTGAAATTAACGCTAATGATTACTACAAATTGAAGTTTTAATGCTAAAACTAAAACTTGAGAGAAGAAAAGGTTCTGTACATGAAAATGCAATACCAGAATAAAAACGCAGGATCACTAGCTGGGCCGGACGAGTGAAGTGCCAGATTATAGAGGGAACACTGTGCAATGTTACACATACAATCATTAATATATGTGTGTCTAAACATTTCCATTCTCGTAATTTCTTGTTTTCAGCAGCTATAGTTAGGAATAATATAAATGGAAAAGTCTACGCCACAAATTTAGGACTACCCTGCCATCGATTCCAAAGGCGAAATTTAGTGATGCCTCAGTACCTGACTATCATGGACAATGGAAGTATTTCAGCAGCCTTTTATTTTTGAAAGATCAGTTAACTCCTAGGAAATCTGGAGGAAATTTTCCTGATAAAGATGATCGTGACGAAGGTCTGGATGACCAGTCACCGGTTTGCCACAGGACGAAGATGATCACAATGACGAGAACTACTGTCGGCGCAAAAAGTATGTGCACCCGAGTTTAAAGATTAATAAAAAAATAACCAGTTGACCTATTTTAATGGGAGGGGTATCAAATTAAAGCTCGTTTAATTGTGCGTTGATTAGGCCTAAAGGATATTGTTTCCATAAAATTTAACTACATTTAGAACGCATAAAGTGCAAAAAATATCCCTTTTTTGTGATATTTCTCGTTATGGTCAAGTTTGGAGTCGAATAAAACGAAAACCACCCCATGAACGCTTCAAATTTTAGTATGCTATGCATTGAACCTTTCTAAATAAGTAGTTGAAATTTTAGTACGAAAATCGAATTTTTGTAGAGGCTAGAGCCATTTATGTAAGTTCCGATTTTATCAGAAACGGGAGGTCGCACGAACTTTTAAAGTACATCGATATCAGCGACTTATTGTCAATAAAACAATAGATGTACTTTTAAAACTATAATTTGATTAAGTTTGTCATAAACATTTTTTTATTTTTTGGAGTTTTTCGCTTTGCATGTCGCGTGTATCGAGATGCACGTGAAGGATGCGCGCGAACTCGCAGTCCATTAGAATGTTACTCGCCCATGCATCTTTCTTATACGAAAGTAGGCGATCAGTTTTCAAAAGGCTCAATGCCAAAAAATGTTATCAACAAAAATTTGAAAATACCAGGCAAAATGTTTTGAGAAAGGAGAGTAAAACATTAATTATATGAGAAAGTTTAATTATACATAGGTAATACACATTTTTCACAAATTTCCGATGATATTATAATGGTCTTACGATCAATTAACCACAATTTAATTAAAGCAATTTACGTTTGTTTGGGAAAATATTTTCAAATGATATTAATGAGGGGGTATAATAATCAATTTGCAATTATTTTGGAAAGTTCAAAAAGTTTTGTGTAATGTAGGAGTATATAATGTAAGCAGTACCTACTATTACCGTTTCACTTTTGAATTGAGATCGTGATCCGAGCTGCATTCGAAAATGCCTCCCAGACCATGTTTTACACAATGTGAAATTGCAATGATTTTAAGTGCGATTGCGTTTTTTAAAACTGAAAGAGAACAGTGTGGTGATAAACGTTATCCAGTTTATCGTAAAGTATCTGAGTGTCTTGGAGTGTCGCTAAGATCAGTAAAAACAGTTGGTTCCAGTTCAGATAATAACGAAAACGTTAAAAGACAACGTACAGAAATTGGGCGCCCATCCATCCATGTTGATGAATTTACTCGCGGAGTTATTCGACAATCTACACAGTTTTTATATAAATAAATAATTTCCGACCATACAAAGCCTGAAGGAAAAACTGGAAGAGAACTTGAATTATTTTCCGGAAATGTGTGCCAACACTCTACGAAAAATAGTGCATCAACTTGGATTCCGTTTCAAAAAACTTCAGAGGAAACCTATCTTAATGGAATCTGTGAAAATAGCATATCTCGTCACATGTATTTACGAAAAGTTAAACAGTTACGCGCACAGGGATGCAAGATTTTTATAATGATGAAACTTGGTGTAGCCAACATCACACCATGACTCACGGATGGCAGGAGAACGTAGTAGATGGTATTGAGTTAGTCCACAACAACTACGATTATTACAGATCCCAATTGCAAGAAATATTTGGATGGCGTGGTGGATTTAAAACTCCATCTGGAGCAGGAAAACGAGTGATAATTTTGCACATAGGAAGCGAAGATGGTTTTTTGGAAGAAGGAGAACTGTGTTTCTTGGATAAGAAAGGGACGTCCGATGAACACAACGAAATGAATGCGCAACATTTTGAGGAATGGTTTCGCAAAGTAGTAGCAGCACTTCCACAGAAATCAGCAATTGTTATAGATCAAGCCCCATATCATACCATGATTGAAGCTTCTACAAAAAAACCCATCTATGGCATGGAAAAAGGGTGAAATTATCGCTTGGATTGAAAGGAAACAAGTCCCACTTCCGTCGTCTGCGACTGATTTTAAATATTTAACCAAAAGTGCCCTTATCGCTTTAGGAAAACCGTACTAGTAGGGTAGTAGGGCCGGTTCTGGACCAGCCACCTGGTGGTGACCTTGGAAAGTAGGTGAAGGTGACAGCCACCTGGTGGTGACCTTGGAAAGTGGATCAAGGTGAGGTTCAAAGGTCGCCTGTCACGTGGCGGTGACCTTGGAAAGTAGGTCAAGGATGATGGCCACTGCCCCCCCAAGTGTCATATTTCAAATTCAAGGTTAACTTTTTGTGTCATATTTCATTTCCAAGGTCAAGTGTCATATTTCATATCCAAGGTTAACTTTTTTGTCCGAAAAAAAGTTAACCTTGAAAATGTAATTTGACACCAAATGAAATTTGAAGAAAAAAACCGAGTTGACCTTGAAAATGAAACATGACACCCCAAAAAAAAGTGACCCTGAAAAGGAAATATGACACTGTATCTAGCAAATGCAACATGAGACAAAAAAATGTGTTCTTGAAAATGAAATAAGACCCCAAAGAAAAGTGTGACCTTGAAAATGAAATATGACCCTTGGGAATGAAATATGAGCCCGAAAAAAAGTTGACCTTGAAAATGTAATTTGACACAAAAAAAACCAGGGTGACCTTGAAAATGAAATATGACACTTGACCTTGAAAATAAAATATGAGACCAAAAAACAGGTGACCTTGGAAATGTAATATGACACCCCAAAAATGAAATATGACTTGACCTTGGAAATGAAATATGACACCCCAAAAAAAAGTGGTCTCGAAAATGAAATATGACACCCAAAATCTAGTTTTCCGAAAACCACCCAATTTAATTATCTAAAATATTTGACCTTCAATCGTCTAATACACCTGCTAATGTGACAGTTCAATAACTTTGCTTATGTGAGTTGACCACATCCGCTTGTCGTCTAATATTTCGAACGTCTCAGATATTAATCAGTGTCATTCTCGGATCTCGTTAGCAGAAACGAGGAACCCTTGACTTCACAAGTTTATTTTCCCATCAGCTCTCTGCTTATGTCAACTGGTCACATCGGCTTGTGCTAGTTCATTACCCTTATCATTTCCTCCCGCGTTGCTAACGTTCGCAAACCTATGGACATATATACGCGCAGCATTTCGTTTTTAGTATTCAGTTCTTACGCGAGTGTGACAAGTTAATAATTACCACAAAATGAAACTATCAACTAACAACAATTCCGCTGGTGCTCCGAATCCACCTATAAGCATCCTGCAGGATATTCTCCTGCAGGCATCGCAACAGCCGAGGAGTGTAGCGACAACATCGGAACCACGACCCCCAACGCCCGTAATTTCGCTGGCAGATAGTGACATTGAGGACGAGTTTGGGCCACTTTTTGAAAAGTAAGTACATATTAAATCGTATCTTTGCTTTGTGATTACATTATTGCACAAACATTACTAATACGTAATTTAATTTTTAATAGCATTACGCCGCCAACTGAAGCAGCCGCCGTGGTGCAGCGGCCACCTCAGCAGTTTGGCGGCAAAGACTTAAATATGCTGCGTCGGGAGGAGACAAATGCCGCCCAGGCCCCCCTCAAAAAGCTGCAAGGGTGCAAGAAGTGAGGTCACGCCAGCAGCAGCAGCCGGCACTACCACCACCCACGCAACCACCTGTGCAGGCCCCTCAACAGCTTCTGCCACCACCACCATCGCAGCAACATCGGCGTACTGCAAGTGGACGCCGGCAGCAGCAGCAGCTGAGACAGCAGCCGCAGCCGAGACAGCAGCAGCAGCAGCCACCACAGCCACCGCAGATGATGATGCTCCCGCCAACCAATCTGCGGGAGCTAAAACAAAACACGCTGCAGTGGCTGCAGGAGCTACATGCGTGCTACACACAAAGTGAAGCCATGCTCTCAAATAGGGCGGCCCAATTGCAGGTCGACCTATTTGAGACGAACGGCAACTTGGAGGTAGCACGTACGAATCTCAGAGGTGCCGAAGAATTTATAAGGGCAATAAATGACTTAAACGTGTGAGTGTGTGGGTGTGCGCGGTTAATTTTAAGGCTAATTTTAATTTTTGTAATTTTAGGGTAGATATTTAATAAGTTCTTGTATATTTTTGTAGAATAATAATACTAGTAAGTATATATTAAATAAATAATTAATTGTACTGTTTTTATTATTCATAGTAGAGTGTGCATATCTCCACTCACGCATCACTTTCATTTCAGGGACAGCAAAGGGGAATTCAAGTTGGTGTATTTGAAAACGTGATCTGAGTGTTCTGTATTCATTCAAAGTGTCACTTCAATTGGAATACATTGATTACTATGGAAAGTGATAAAGAAATTGAACGGTATGATGAAAGTCGCGCTCGGTTTATCCAACGACACTTAACTTGGTAGAACCTAGTAAATTGCTATGCTAAAACATGCGTTTCCATGATACCTATTTGCTCTTGCAGGTACAGGTGTACACACAAGAATAGAAGTGAATAACTAAAAGATCATTTATTGCCATATATTTCAACCATCATGCAAATTCAAAGTCAATAGAATCTAAGACAATAGAGCATACATTTGAATTACGTCTTAAGGTATTAAAATAAAAATGGCAACCCCTTTTTTTTTTATTGCACGTATCTTCATGCTCAGTAAAAACACACAATAACAACAGTGGCAATTTATAAGAGTCCATTTATTACGATATATATTTCAACCATTCAATAATATCGAACAAATTTCTAATTAATTTTTAAAATAAGCAAGCTATAAACTGAAAAGCACAAATAAAAAACAAAACAAAAATCTAACATTATTATGATTATTATTACTATTATTTCCCCAGCACCACACGCACTTTACTTTATCGCTAGTTTTCCCATTCTTTCTTGAATTTCACTATCTATCGGCAAATTCACGTTGATTTGCGTCACTTCATCGTTTATCATCAGTTTAGCCATTTTTCGATTGGTAACAAATACTTCCAAGTCTAACTTTAACACTAATACGTTGAACTAACGTTTCCAGTCTCCTCTTCCTATCTTCTCGAGATAAAAAACTGTCTACTCTCCTCTTCATATCTTTTCGAGATGAAATCCTTCCAATCATGCCACCTCGAGATATGCGTCGTACGTGTACGTGGCTCATGTTTAGACGTTTAGTAGTGATGATGAAACTTTACTTAATGAATTCAAAGCTTCACAAAGAAACATTTTATAATAAATGAGAATCCTTGAATCTGAAACCTCAGCATGGTAATCAATTGGAGGGGGATAGGAGAGACTGTTGGAAAGGAAATATGAAACCAAAAAATTGACCTTGAAAATTAAATACTACACTACAAAAAGTGATTTAGAAAATGAAATATGACACTTGACCTTGGAAATGAAATATGACACACAAAAAGTTAACCTTGAATTTGAAATATGACACTTGGGGGGGGGCAGTGGCCATCATCCTTGACCTACTTTCCAAGGTCACCGCCACGTGACAGGCGACCTTTGAACCTCACCTTGACCTACTTTCCAAGGTCACCACCAGGTGGCTGTCACCTTGACCTACTTTCCAAGGACACCACCAGGTGGCTGGTCCAGAACCAGCCCTACTACCCTACTCGTACATTACAACTTCACAAAAGAAGTTAGAAATTATTCTCAAGGAAATTCGACCAGACGTACAATTAGTATGGTTACCCGTGGCGCATTGTGAATTAAACGCAATTGAATTGATATGGGCGTACGTGAAAAACCGCATAGCAAAAATTAATAAAGAAAACGCGGCCAAAAATGGAATTAGCATGGATGTAATGATGAAGCTTTGCCAAGAAACACTGAGGTCAGTAACTCCCGAATTATGGAAAAGCTGCATTAAACATGCCCAAAAAATTGAAAACTATTATTGGGAGAAAGATCATTTAATTGAAGATATGATTGAAGTGCAACCCCTTATTATCAACGTCGGCGATTCTGATTCCGAAGAAAGTGAGATAGATTTAGATGGAACCTTAGACGATAGTTTTTAGACTTGCTGAGGAAATGCTAGTATTTTTATTTTATTGTAATTTCCACTGCCCATGTATATAATTATAAATTGATTGTAAGACCATTATAATTTGTGAAAAATGTTTATTACCTATGTATAATTAAACTTTCTCATATAATTAATGTTTTACTCTCCTTTCTCAAAACATTTTGCCTGGTATTTTCAAATTTTTGTTGATAACATTTTTTTGGCATTGAGCCTTGTGAAAAATGATCGCCTACTTTCGTATAAGAAAGATGCATGGGCGAGTAACATTCTAATGGACTGGGAGTTCGCGCGCATCCTTCACATGCATCTGGATACACGCGACATGCAAAGCGAAAAACTCCAAAAAATAAAAAAATGTTTATGACAAACTTAATCAAATTATAGTTTTAAAAGTACATCTATTGTTTTATTGACAATAAGTCGCTGATATCGATGTACTTTAAAAGTTCGTGCGACCTCCCGTTTCTGATAAAATCGGAACTTACATAAATGGCTCTAGCCTCTATAAAAATTCGATTTTCGTACTAAAATTTTAACTACTTATTTAGAAATGTTCAATGCATAGCATACTAAAATTTGAAGCGATTTCATGGGGTGGTTTTCGTTTTATTCGACTCCAAACTTGACCGGAACGAGAAATATCACAAAAAAGGGGCATTTTTTGCACGTTATGCGTTCTAAATGTAGTTAAATTTTATGGAAAAAATATCCTTTAGGCCTAATCAACGCAAAATTAAACGAGCTTTAATTTGATACCCCTCCCATTAAAATAGGTCAACTGGTTATTTTTTTATTAATTTTTAAACTCGGGTGCACATACTTTTTGCGCCGACAGTAAGAGTCGGAGTCAATGCAAGAAGATATGGGATCTTCACTTCGTGGCTCCCTGTCGGCACTAAGTGACAATACACCATCGTCGACGTGACGGAAATGTGCAACTTTGCCTCCATTTAACCAAGTTTCTATTTCTTAAGATAAGTGAGATCCCCATAGTGGCACTCAAAAAATGGACACCGTGTATACATAGGGGTTAATGATATAGAAAGGTCTTTTCCCAAATTAACCCTTGCTGAGTTTCAGGTCACCTGATTTACTTACTACTTACCTACTCAACTTATTTAAAGATTTTTAGACCGCTTAGTCTTGTGAAAGGTTAATTACAGTTTTCTTTTTACAGTTTGTATTGCCTCTACTGTACCATTCTCCGTGCCCATATCAGCCCGAATTGTGTGTGGACATCCTCCTAACCGCATAATTGCAGAAACCCTGCTATCACTTTAGGGTTACTAGAAGTCCGATCTGCATGTAACCATATTATGTGCCGAGAAAAACCATCAATGGGCATCGTTTATGCAAATCCCATATCTTTTTAGTTTATGCTAGAATCTATATGCCAAACTGTATTAGGCTGTAACCACCCTGTTACTTTACCTATTAATCGAACCGTTCTAATAGCGTCGTCCGCTCAAAATCGCTCTATCTTAAAAAAGGCTCAAACGTCTTCCACCTACCGTACCAGGGGGTAAATCTCGTTTTGATATCGTCTTCACCAAATTCCTAAGCACTTTTGTTCAAAGAAAACAAGACGAAAATCCTTTCACTTACGGTGTGTGTGTGTGTATATATATATATATCGTGTTTATAAACGCAATATTAAGTGGTTGACGTTTAATGATCGGAAAAAGAAACAAGTATGTCCCTTCTGCGCCTTCGTATGGAACCTACTGACAAATATAATGTTCAGTTTGTGCTGACATGTGTCGATTTCGCCGTTCGCGGGTCTTGATGGAAAGTGGGGAGGGTAAAAAAAAGGTGCAATAATTTTACATCTGATGAAGTAGATGTGCTAGATAGCTTAGTTGAAGAATTCAAGAGTATAGTATAGTATGTACCTACATGTTTGAGAACATTTATTGCTTTAAATATGAATAAAAACTATTTCAGAATGCAAAAAGACCGACAGTTTATCATCAGCCAAAGTAAAGGGCTGGGTCACAATAGAAGAGAAATTTAATGTCATGTGCAAAAATGCTTCGTAGCAAATGGGATTCCCTTAAGAATACCGTCAGAAAACAGTATGCCAATTTCAAATGCCGCTTATATTGGGTGGTTCTCACAGCGAAGGGCGATAGAGTCTTAGCATTGGTCGGTGTGGGTGTACCTGTAAAGCCGCGTCCACATTATACCGATATATGCAAAGCCAACAGTGATGTGGACATCTTATCAGCTCGTGCCAATTGGCAAAAACTCCGACCCGACGGTTGTGAGGACGTGCCAATTGGCACTCCAGTAGGGATGCCACCTTTTGCGAAATTGAAGTAAGGACAAGCAGTTTTGTGGTGGGGCCCGGGGGGGGGGGGCAAGGATAAAATAATGATTAAACAATTTTGAAACTTTATTTTCATGTTTACTTAAATTTAAATGTATATTTTTCGTTTCCTTTAGCAGCTATTAAGAGGTTACTATCATTTTTGGCGTATTCATAAAATTGTTCGCAGTTGTACTTAAAATTAAAATATATTAATAGTTCTGCGCGAATTAAATCAACAGAACACCTGTTTCTTTCATCTCTCCATTTCACATTCATAACAGAGAAACATCTCTCTGAAAATGCTGAACTGGCAGGTATGCTAAGAAGAAATGACACAATAGAAAATATATTTCTTGAATTCTCAATTCCTACTTCATTAAAAATTTTTTTCCATTTAGTAGCAGTATTTAGGTTAGAAAAATCTGGACTTTGTAAAATAAGTACGAAATTTTCAGAAATTAATGAAACTTCATTAAATAATGTATCCATATTTACATCTAGATTTGGATTCGCTATTTTTTCAACAATATTTTCAAAATCCTCATATTTGGGAAACGCACTTTTCAAATTTAGATGAGAAATTTCCGCTAGCCAACTTTCTTGAGAAAAATCAAAATGATTTTCAAGATAATAAAGCGACTTTTGAAAAAAAAATTAAATTCGTCGTGTAATTTAGTTTGTATTTCACTATTCAGTTGTTTTAATTTTTGTTTTGTTTCAAATCCGTAAAACCGATTTTCCATTCTTGATGTAATTTTTTTTTTCAATTCCGTCATAATCGTAAAAATATCAAGAGATGTGGTTTCGTTACATTCTAGTACTTTAATAGTTTCTTGGAAAACGTTTAAAATGTGATTACAAAAAAGTAAATAAATTTCTATTTCACCAGGTACACTATCAGAGTTTGTTTCAATTTTTAGTAACCGTTTAATGTGTAATGGACAATTTTCTAAACTCAAAAAATAACTGCATAATGCTAAATAACTTTGCAAAATTCTTTCAATACATGGGTTTAATGAAAGCCATCTAGTTCCAACGTGTCGAATTAATTCACGCCATTCGCAATTTACAAAATCGTAAAATGATTTTAATTCTTCTCTGCGTTTAGCAGAAATTGAAAAATGGGAATATATTTTTAGTATTAAATTTTCAACATCTAATCCTAAAGACTCCATTGCATATTTAACGCAATTATGAATAATGTGTGCATGACAGTTACCTTTTAATATAAGGTAAAGCGAGGAGAGTTTGCGCACAATTCGAAAAAAATTTATAACAATTAAGATTTTTGTAAAATTTACCAAATAGCTAATGTAATATAATCTTTGCTATGTTGCGCTTACACAATTCACTATTAAAACTTTTGAACTTTCTTTTTTTCGGAATAACAAAATTTTGAAAAAAGAATGATTTTTCGCCATCTCTCTTAACCAGGTAGGTTAGTTTGCGCATGATGTGAGGAGAGACTGCGCGTGTGCAGAAATTTGAGTTTTTCTGCTTAAAATAAATTTTGTTGACATTTTTTAAACAGAATAAGTACAATGGTTACATACTTATACTTAACTATAATTATTGAATACACTAAAATACTATCTTCATAATAACGAACTAAAATTACTAACTCAAACAAAACTTTAAATTTAAAACAAAAGGTTAATCACTTCTTTAAGTTCTTTTGTCGGATTTCTTTCCGGCCACAGTAATAGCACTTGTTGACATACATTGTGCAGGACTCGTGCAACCATCTACTGCATGACATGCATTTTATCCAGTCCGATTTCGAAGTTGTTTGTGCATAAATCTCCAAGCACTCAACACATGCTTCGTCCTCGGATTCAATGGCAGTATCTGATAGAAGTTCCATTAGGTCACTTTCTTCACCAGACGAGGTTGATGGAGGAGAATCACGTTTTAACCTTTTTTTACCTTTTGGTATTTTTTGGATCTTCGACGTCGCAACTTGTTTCTTTCTTTCTTGATCCTCTTTCTTTTTTAACGTTTCTTGAATTTTTTTTTGTTTGCTAGAAATGTATTCAGGAGAAGTCACATTTGTTGCACTTATCTTTCTTTTCACTTTCGATTGCCCCAAACTGGCAGGGATAGGTGATATTGTTGCTAAAGCTTTGTTTGGTGTTATTTTAGATTTCGGTGAAGTCGCCATTTTACTTTGAGGTGAAGTCTTGGAGAATGGTTGCGAGTTTCCTTTTGAAGTTTTTACAGGGGAACGGGCTTTAGAAGTTGAAGGTTGGGAGTTAACTTCATCTAGGAATGACACTTCTGATGAAATTGCGCTTGGGGGAGTGACTGGAGTTTGATCAGTTGCAGATATGGGATCGGGTGTTCCGATTCCTGGTGTGACAGGAGCATCTTGATCACACGACAACAAATATGCATGTTCAGGAATAGCATCCATATTTAAAGGATAGATACCTGTTGCTCGAAACGAAGAAGTGGCGAGTTGCACAGTAGCAGAACGAGACCAAGCTAAATTTAAAAGTTCTCCGAAGTCGTCTCTTGTAATTTTCCCCGTACCACGACGAGTAGAAACCATCTTTGCACATGCGTCTTTGAAATAGGTTTTGAAAGGTTTGAATACAACCCGGTCTAAAGGTTGCAAATAGTGCGTGGTGTGACTCGGTAAACAAACGATGATAATATCGTTGTCTGAGGCGATTTGAAGCATATCTGCGCTATTCATATGCGAAGCATGGCCATCAAGTACCAGTAGATTTTTACCTGTCGGTTTTCGGGGAATGAAATGTTGCGTCATCCAATCCATAAATAGTTCAGTGGTAATATAAGCGCTTTTTTTGTTCATTTTAATTACTGTTCCAGGTGGTGCGCTCTTCAAATGTTGGGATTTTGCGTAGACTCCTTTAAAAATACAGTAAGGGGGTAAAAATTGCCCTTCTGCACTGCAGCAAGCTAGAACGGTAATTGTTTCACCCTTTTCCGCGCTCGTGATAACATGAACATCCTTGCTACCTTTAGCTGCAATAACCTTACCAGGTTCGTTATTTAGCTGAACTCCAATTTCGTCACAATTCCATATGCAAGCTGGTTTGTCTAAAAGATCATTCTCGGTTAGAATATCAGTCAAAAGAGTGAAATAATTTTTTATTTCAGCGCGATTCATTCCTTCTGTCCTGGCTTTGCTTATTCCTTGAGCTTTTCGGACACTTAACTCAGGATGTCGTCGCATAAAAGATGAAAACCAAACTTTTCCTGCTGTCTTCGTTTCCGTATTGAAAGTGTGTTTCTTATTCAACGATGTTGCTAAATTGAACGCCAGGTGTCTTACATCTCGTTGTGTTGGTGCGAATCCAACGGCCTGAAGTTTTTTTATGTGCAGAGACAATTTGTTTTCGGCATCAATGCCTAGTTGTGCCTCTGGGCCCATCCCTTTCTTTTCAAAAGAATTCTTTTTTAACCTATTTCTTAAGGTGGACTCGGGAATTTTGAACTGTTTGCCTGCTGACCGTATGGATAACCCATTTTCGATGACCCCGATAGCTTGTTGTAGATCCTCCTGTGACCAGGACCCTTTACTTGACTTCCGTACATAAACGTTTGGCATTTTGATCTAGTTAGAAGAAAAAGAACATCATATTAGCCTCCTAATAAGTAAAATGAGTCGCGCAAACTCTCCTCTCACTGTATTAAATATATAGCACGCGCAATCTCTCCTAATTTGAAATGAGCAAACTCTCCTAATTCGGTAGGAGAGATTGCGCGGCCACGTGATAGGCCAAAAATGTTTGACATTAACTTGAAACCTCATGACACGCTAGTATACATATAGAGCTTGTGCAGAAATTACCTGGTTAGCAATTCTCTTCCACAAAATTATGTCCTAGGAAAATCTAAGCAATTGGTCTGAAAATTCACGCACTTAACCTTCACACCTTCCACAGCTCAGAGTCCATAATAAACAACCACTTGCTTCGTTCGGCGCACGAATTCCAATGGCGTGTATGTAGAGAATGCGCATTCGCTACCTTAGGACATAGGGTCGATTTTCCTTTTCTTTCTTCACTGTTTGACATCCGCGCAATCACTCCTACCGCGCAAACTCCTCGCTTTACCTTATGCTTGTTAACAGCAGTCATGTTTGTATAAAGACTGTGATGTTTGCCAAAATTGGAGTTTGTATTATCAGCGCTTAAACAAGAAACATTGTTCCAATCAAGCTTTAACATTTTCATACAGTTGTCTGCCATCATGAACATTCCGTCTGCGGATTCATCACTATTTTCACAAAAATGAAGCAAATAATTTTGCAAACCGTCTTTAAAGGTAAAAACTTGAATTGAAATTGGAAACAATTTAATATTTTTTCTATTAGATGCATCTAATTGAACAGTAAAAAAGAGACGGAGTACATGATTGTTTACCAATTCAATAACATTATCTAAAGCTTTTTTACCTAAAACATTTTTTGCAATCATTTCGCTTTTGGTTCGTCCGCATGATAATTTTGACGTAATACTTGAGTCAGGATAAATAATTTTATCTAACTTTATACAACAATCTAATCCATTGTAAGACTGATTATGTTTTACCGTATGGTAAATTTTACAGATTTCGGCTAAAATAATTTTTAATTCCTCTTTTGTGTCTTTTTTTACCACAAATTTATCCAGAAGCTGTGATCTTGTTCCTGCGGATAATTTCTTCGTATGCAAGGAGGTTTGACTGTGTTTGATAACAGCCGATATTCCCATAAAACTCACTGTAAAAGAGTTGCAACAAATTTTGCAATATGCATCAGTGTTACTAGATGCTGGTTTTATCCATGAAAACTTCTTTCGCCATTCCTTATTGAAATAACAACGTCGTTTAAGATTTCTAGTCTTGGGAGGGGTTTGGGGATCAAGTCGACTAGTACCAGACTAAAATTATATCTATTAACTATAAAATATTTGACATATTTTAATTTTCATACCATTATTGGTCCCGTTTCAGCCACAGAATCGAAATCTGACATTTCTATTTCTACCTCTTGCTCTTCATGCTCCAAATCCCCTCTGGAATTGCTGGCAGTTGATAACTGGTCCAAAGGCGTAGGTTTCCCTTTCCCATCACACTGATTTCTCCAATCTGGATGATCCATTCTTTCTTGATGCTTGCAAAAATAAATTCATTAATCTGTATCAAAACTGCATTTTTATTATAAGTAAGCATTTGACGTTGATTGGTTCATGTTTGAATTGAATACATTAATTTATAGAAATTATTCACCATGATTCATGATACGACACTCTGGCAAAGTTGAAAGTGGTAACAGGTAAGGGTTAATTAAGCGTAACGTAAATTTAAATGTTTTCGTGTTTATATGATTGCGGAATAATTAATACTTAAATACTAACTTTGGCTTTAACTTTAGATTAGTATTAAATTAAACATTAAACACTTACCTGTTGGCTGTTATATATAAATTATAATAACAGCTACCGCTACGCTAAGTAAAAAAAACAACACAATGCAATGCAAAAACGAGAACTAGAGTGCAACCTGCAACTGACTCACGTAAACATCGCATAAATTATCCTTTCAAATCTAAAAATAGAAAAAAGAGGCGGCGACGGTGAGCGCGAAAAGCAAGATCCGAGAGGATTGCTTCAACTAAACGAACGCAACCGACGCGACGCGAAGGTCGTAAATATCAAAACAAAACAATAAATTAGCGTGTAAGGACGTTTGAAGAGAAAATAAGGACGGAAGGACATAGTAGGTAAAATAAGGACTGTCCTTACCAAATAAGGACAGGTGGCAACCCTACACTCCAGCGACCTCAATTCATTCCCGACCGTAATACCACTAATTTATTTCTCATATTATTGAAAAATGGAGTGGTCTAATGAGAAAGTGGTATCGTTAATTGACATGTATCGGGAACGGCCCGTTTTATGGAATTGCAGATTGAAAGAATGTAAAGATCGCAATAAAAGACATGACGCTTTTTTAGAAATTGTTGTGAGTTTTGGTTTAACAAAGGGAGAAATTGAAAGGAAAATTAAAAATTTAATTTCTCACTTTTCACGGGAAGTTAAGAAAGAAAGGGACAGTGTTAAAATCAGGTAATGGAACTAAAGAAGTGTACAAGAGCAACTGGTTCGCTTACCAGTGTATGGAATTCCTGAAAGACAGAAATCGCGCAAAAATGACACACACAGGTAAGATATTTAAATTTATTTCTTTAAATAATATCACAAAAAAAGCAGTGGTTATTATTTATCGTATTGAAAAGGTACTGTGGTGGCACACGCACCAACCACGTGCAAAACCGACACCGACACCGGCACCCCCGCTTTAAGCGCGCGACAACTCCCACGCAACTTGTTTTCTCCCACAAGAAGCATACTCCCACGCCGCAGACGGCCTTTAAAAGCGCGACCGAAATCAAGCAAGAGCAGGAAACTAGAAGCGGCACAGTCAAAGACCTTGCGAACCATCGTTTGTGCGGAACGAGACGCTAAGGGCGGACCTAGCCATCTCCACCTTGAGAGACCACGTGAGACAGCTGGCGGAAAAACATACAGTGACATTGACAACTCCGACGCAGACCACATCAAAGCAGTCGCCTGCATAGCTGGTACTCGACAAACCATCAAAAAGCGGCCCAGGAGTATCCTGAACTAAAGGAGAGAAAGTGAAGCCTTAATCAGCTGCAACAGCCAAAGTCAACAGGCTCACGCTGAAACCAGGGTGAAAACAACCCAGCCCGACGCACCGACACAAGCAAGATCAGATCGACTCGCTCCTCAGCAGTAATCTCACCCCACTGCGTTCACCATAGCCAGTGGTATTTTGGCAGCGCTCCTCATAGCCTGCTTGTTAACCGGCGTTCTCCGAGCCCGGTACACACAAACACTAAGGCCAGGCGCGCACATAAGGCCAGGCGCGCACATGCGATTTTCGGTCGCACGATTATTTAGTCACAAAAATGAAACAACAGTTTTTATTACAAATGCGACTAAATAATCGCCGCGATTAAAAAGATGCGACCAGTTCTATTTTTGAAGCGACGCGATTATCGCAAAGCAAAATAAGTCGCATTAAGAGAAATGAACGTGCACGCACCTGCGACTATTTAGTAGCAATTCAGTGTTCAACGACGTGCCACGCCGATTCATTGCATATTAATTTTTCTTGGCTGCTGCTTTAAAACATGTCCGACGACGAATTGTCCGCCAGGGATGATCGTTCAGATACTGTCTTGGACACACAAAGAATAATTACCGAGGTGGAAAAAAGACCTGCTCTTTACAACAAGCAATTGAAAGAGTATAGTGACCGAAATTTAAAAGAAAAACTGTGGGGCGAAGTTTGTATGAATGTAATACGCAATTGGATGGAATTTTCCGCAGCGGAGAAACAAAAGAAAGGTATTTTCATCTAATCCATATCATTAGGAACGGCGTAACAATGTGCAGGATAATTCCAGGTAGTTTCTTTTGTTTTACCTATCAAGTAATGAGTTGTCGCCTCAGGAGTTATGTGCAATTTGAGTTTCCTATCCTTACGTTAGCGTTTTGATTTTTTTCGGAAGGTCGCGATACATATTTTTTAAAATCTATGCATTATCACAATAGGTGGAAATAATAGCTTTAAGTACCGCCGTAGGAAATACTGTCGGATTTCCAAATTTGTGCTGTACGTTTTTCTACTCCCATTACAACGGCTGTTATTTACGAAAATCGATTTTTCTATTCATCGATCTTCCTATAAAACTAAGACCGATATTTCAACTTTTTTTAAGTACCGCCGTTCTTTTCATCATTGCAAAGAATATCCACTATCCAGAATTTGTTAGACCGCAACTACAAAAGCAGCATTTCATAAGAACGTTTAGCTATTTTTTCCAATATGGCGGATTGGCTACAGAGGAGCCTTAAGGGGCTGACTTGAAATTTGACGTTCTCTCATTGGACGACGGAAAAATTAACAATGTATTGCCGGAGGGTATAATTACTGCAAAGCCTTTATGATGTGTTTAGTCTGTTTTCCTTCGTCGCCATAATGCGAACGTGTAACGAAGCACCCGGAATTTCTCCATTTAGTTTGCAGTTTACAAAGACCACCCTGTATGTAACGATTGGTTAGGGCGTCGTTACGCAAAAAGACCGCGATATTTTTGTAACCACCGAAGGATGTTGTCCTGGCGAAGATGAGGGACAATTAATATTCTTTGGTTTCAGCGCCGTTAATTATTTATAAGATGTTTTAGATTCCCATAATAAGTAAAATCAAGGATAAAACGAGTTCAAATCTAGTTGTTTACAAGTTTTGCAGTCCCGTCCGTATGCCTGCATGTTGCGATAAGAGTGTTAAAGCGATAGCGCCGTTTGAGAAGAAAAGTCCAAGGGAGCTAGTTGCAGATTGGATTTATGAGTACTTAGGTTTGATTACGCTTAATTAGGTAAGCGCTGTTAATTAATGCCATGTTAATGGGCAGTAGTAAACCGTGTCAGAAACCGTCGAGAGAGGTGTCCACAGAGGCGCTGTAATTTTTCTAATTGTTTGCAAGTTGTCCCAGATTTTTAAGATAACCACAGGAGCCGCAATTAATTAAAAACCGAATTATTTTCTACACCGCTCGGTGCGAATGCAGCGAGGCTTTGGGAATTCCATGTTCCACTTCTACCAAAATATAGGTTTCCTTTAAAAGGAAAATGCTCATTTTGGGAGGGATCTTTTCTGCTTCATACTTTCGAGTTGTAAGTACGCCTTTTGATTTCTTTAATTTGCGAAACCGTATCATTCCGAATCCACCGAAACCCTTTTGTTTTACCGTTTTACCGTTTGAGCGACCGTAAGTCAATCCGTTATCCTTTCCGTTTAACTACCGTTTTGAGTTTACCTTTTTGCACTACCGTAACTTTTACCCCGTTCCGCTAAGTTTCATTACCGCCTTAAGCTTACCGTATTTTCTATCGATAGTGTTACCACCGTTTAAATCACCGTTACTTAACCAAGGTAAGCGCTTAATTTTCATTTACGTTGATTAAAGGGGGGGAGTATATTCTGTTCTCCTTGTTTTTCCGCTTTTCGTTCCCCTAGACACCGCTAATTGATTTGTGCTTTATTGCTTTATTCCCTTTAGGAAATTTACCGTCAGGGCCGTCGGCCATATTTTGTTTTAGGTAATCCGGAAGTGACCGCCGCCATTTTGTGGTGAACCCTGACCGATCCCTGGTTATTCCGTTCTCCACTAGAGGATACCCGGAGGCTTTCCACCCCGTCCGACAAAACCGCCCCTTTTCCCAAGACTTAGGGGGTGCAGTTAAGTCTTGGTGGCGCCCGAGTGACCGACCGACCGTCCCCGGTGTAATAATTGAATTGTACAATTATATTATTGTTCGACAATTAAATGAACTTGAAATAATTGTGCTTTCCCTTATTTAGAATACCGTTCGTGCACGAGCTAAGGGGGAAGTTCGTCGCAAACGTTTCACTTGGGCGACAGTGCATTGCGGCGAATGCTAAGTAACGTTAGGAAAGTGCCGAGTTTTAAAAACAACGCAAAGAAAACGTGTGTAGAACTGTGCGTCGGTGGCCAGGGGGTCCAAGCCTTAAGAAGAAGGTTAAATCTTCGTTAAAACCGGGAAGCTGCTGACTTTCCGGCGGCTTCTGCGATTGTAGTAGTAATGATCGGAACCAACGACGCACACAATAAACATTTTCGGGCCGACAAATTTAAGAAGAATTTAAAGTGGCTGATACGTGATTTTAAAAAAATGCATCCGCCCAATGTATTGTTATGCACGATCCCTCCAAACTTCAATTCTAGACAGGCTGACCAAAATGTAAATGTAATAAACCACATAATACGGGATGCTTCGGTGGGTGTCCACCTATTGGACACTCACAAACTGTTTATTAGAGAAGGGAAGGAGCTATTTGAAACGTAAGTACAAATAACGGCTACAATATTAAACAACCAATAACATTCCTTCATCTTTTTATAGCGACGGGATACATCCCAACTTACGGAGGTTACGAATCATCGACGAAGCTGTCAACAAGGCGTTGCAAGAGCTGTAATTTTACATTTAGAATAGGTATATTATAACAAGTTTCAATAAAAATATTCATAAACCCAAATTTGTACATTCCAAAGTATGTGATCTTTAAAAATAGACACGTCCCAAAGTTAATAGAGAAAGGACACGTCTTGTCCAAAACAAGGGGATTCGAATGTTATTGTGGCTAATGTATAACTGGTTTGATTTTGGCGGTAAAGGTCCTCTTCCCCCGTCTGTGCCTTTGAACCTTACTTGTTCAATGTCGTACCGATTGTGGGTCGACCTCTCATTTTGTTGCTGTGTTCTTCGGTCGGTTGTTCCCTTCAGGACTCCCGGTCTTTAAACTTGCTCAATTCTTCGTCCCCGTCAGGGTCGATTAATTTTTAACTTATTATTAATATTTCGAAGCCGTTCGGATATTATAACATCTTGCCTGATGATGGCTTGTTAGCCGAAACATGTCGCATTGCAATTAAAGAT